CTGTGCATCAGAGATGTGTTCTGTAGAAAGCTTTGTGAAAGCCAACACACAAACATCAAGACTGTAAGTGTAAGCTTACAAACATCTCTGAAAAATATTTATCCGTTTTTCCCTGCCTGCTCTCCCCATTCTTACCTTTCCTGATACAAGAAGGTGGAAACAATATTCTGTACAGGTATTTGATTTAGTTTTTTATTGTCTTCAGATGCAGTCTTAATTATACAGCAACAGCACTGAATTTACAGCAGTAGACTATGGTAGATGCTGTGTTTTTCCATTACATAGCTACGATATATACCCTATTATAACAGTCAGAGCCATTCCTCTAAATGTAAGAAGAGGTGAATATAAAGGAACTCCAAGTGATTGCATACAAATCACAATTGAGGAAGCTACACCCAAGTTTTTTGTCCTAACTCTATTATCAAGATGGAAAAGCTTTAATTTGAAGTTCTACAGGGAACAAGAAAATACAGCAAAACCAAAACACTATGTAGCAGCATCAGTACAGAAACATGGACAACAGAGTATACAAGCACCCAGCAGATTTTATGTCACTCAAAAAGTTGTAGTTTATAGCTAAATATATCCCTGCGGAACTTGAATTCATTCATTTTTCACACTGGGCATCTATAGCATGTTGAATCTGTCTTGTTCTGACAAACTGGGTGTATCAGACACAAAAAGACATGTCTTTCTATTTGTATTACCAGATTTTTATTTACATAGCCTCAGGAATATGATTAAATCATGATTTAGATTCAATTATTTTGACACTTTGGATATGATAAATCTAAAGTTTAACTTAGATCCCTGATAAAGTATTTGTAATCAGACTGGGAAGAAATGCATTCAACCCTCTGAAGAAGAAAGACTTTTAATGAGTCCATCAATTGTATACAAATAGGGGTTTCTAGCTGCATATAACTCTTAAATAATTCTCTGTAACAAGACTGCTATCAGGAAGAATTTGAGTGAATAATTTGAGGATCAACAGATCCTAATTAGCAGAGAGAAGCAGCTTAGAGAAATAGCATTGTATTCATCAAGACAATAAAGTATTTCATTTGAATCTTGGACCACTTAAGGAGTGCATAGCCTAAAAGGAAAATTTAGTGCTGAAGACTGTAAACAGCACTTGGAGAAAGCAGGGTTTTTTTTTTTTATAATAGTCTTATCCCAAAAGGTAAATGTGTGATAACTGATGTAACTTAGTCATTGACTTTAGTGATAATTTCATGCTTTCTTATGGATACCAAATATGCAGCCCAATTCCATGAAGGTATTTCCCTTCTCACAACCAGGGTAGATATTATTAATCAATGTGTCTCTTGCTCGTAGCATGCTCAGACCAGAACCTTGGAATAATTCTACAGATACCATTTTAGATATTAAAGAGTAATTAGATGGAGCAAGTGGAACAGACATAAACAATTTATTATCTTATCTTGAAAACCCCTCTTTAATTACTGATAAGTTTTCATGTTGAAATTCAGCTAAGAATTTGTCCTAAGCTGGATATGTAAGTGTCAAGGTGGATAAAGGGTTAAATGGTTGGTATTACTTAGCATCCCCCATGTATATTTCCCATTCAACATTATGCTTTACAGAACAAACAAATCGACTCTCTTGCCAAAAACTTTGTAAAAGGCCATAGAATATTCAAATATACATGGAAATTATCAAGGCTTGTAGCTACATGGTGATTAGGTCTAAATTTGTGTGTGTGTGTGTGTGTGTGTGTGTGTGTGTGTGTGTGTGCTGCCTAGGAAACAATATACGGGAAAATTAAACAAATTTTAAGTATTATATAAGTGCATCACCTAGCTGCTTATTGACTACCAGCCCCAATACCTTAATGGAATGCCTTTCTAACCAGCTCACCACCAGACTCTAGGAAACAGAGACCATCTTTAATCTGGGACCATCAAACATGTCTAGATGCATATGACCAAAGTTGTGGCATTGATGCCAAGTGTGTATGTATCATTTTGGAGCTTATTATGAATGAAAACAGTCCTCTCTGGAATTCAGTGTATATATTAGCATATTATAGGCTCTGAGGAGCACCACCTTGGGGAAAGAAAACCAAACAAAAAAATTTTACTTTGTTTGATTCAATATGTCAAAACTGAAATTATTTTGACCATTGACTAGTTATGATGATCCTTTGGGAAATTTCCTATAAACTATAATTTCTTTTAGCTAACAAAAATATGTAGCTCGCAGAGGTCTCCTACTATTCACACTTGGGATCTAATTTTATTCAAAGACCAAGATACAGTGAAGTCTCTGATATATCTGGTTCTAAAAACTCCAAAAGTAAAAAGAAAATAAAAATATTGGCTTGGTCCCCAGAATGACCTATATCAAAACAAACAGAATGAGATTTTTGCTGCATTAGATTGTATTCATGAAGCTCCTATTTGCTTGGAGTCCAAAATAGAGATGGGCAGGCAATTTGAAACTGATCCCTGTCAATGTATGTGAACACCATAGAAGGCCACTCAATGACTTTGATGGCCTCTGCTCATGCTTTCAAGCTCAAAGTCCACAGAGTCATCATATTGGTCAAGATTAGTCACAAACACCAAGAACCAAGTTCTGGCCCTCGTTGTGAATATTTACATAGATTCACAGTGAGAATCCTTCCCTCCAGCTGTCTGAAGACTATAATCAATAAATTAGTCAAATACAGAGCACCACTCCGCACTCAGCTTAACTGTTCATTCTGTATCACATGAACCCATATATTTAAAGAAAGCAAATATTGCCTAAGGCAGCAGCTAAATAAGAGAAGCTGGGGAGGTAACAATAACAAAATACCCTATCCCTGTATTTCCTGTCTGTCCTTCAGATACATCAAATTGTGAGGATCTGGACTCACACACATACAGATTCTTGTCAAATGCTCAGTTTCTGTCACTTCCAAAAGAAGATATATAAGTGGGTTTTTAAATTTTACACTCTCAGAATTTTGTTGAGTTTTAATTTCTAGACAAGTGTTAGCCTAAAGGAAAACGTCAAACCAGTTATGAAAGTAGCTGGGTCTTCTAGGGAGAACCAGTATCTGTGACCCATGCATCACTGAGCTGCCCACTCAGATGAGCAACACTTGATCATAGGACTGAAGACAGAATCCTCCTCTGTAACAAACTGCTACTTGTGGGAGCCCCAATTCAGAGGAAAGAACAAAAGAACCCCCATGGGTGCCTATTTTGGGAAGCAGATGTTGTACTAGAATCATCACGAGCAAGATCTCAGAGAGAATGATTTAATACTAGAAGCTCCCTAGCTTCCAATACATCAGCATAAAGGACCCAGCTATATAAAACTATTCATTCCAAACCCAAAAATGGAATCCTTGGGTAAATTTTGGTATGAGGCCAAATAGACAACCATTCAGACACTTACTGAACATATACCCAAACCTAAATGCATTCTCCTACAACCTTCGCAGCTATTAATAAGGGATAATAGCTCTTGATACCTTATTCTCTAACTAGATGTATCTCTCTCAAGGTCAAAAGTTTGGTGCTGAAATTTAGAGGGTATTGAATATTTGTTATAATTGACACCCAAAGGAGAGAAAAGATCTGCTTTAATAGTAGTGTATAACGATCAACAATGTTTGAGCTACAAGTATGGGTAGATTGATAGACAGATGTAGATGCAGACAGACACACACATATGTATAAACATTCATATGTACACACACATACACACTAGATACTGGGTTACAAACTTAATCCTATGTTGTAAAATATAGGTCAAATTTAAATGAGAAAATAGAGTCACTAAAAGTAAGAGCAGTGAAGTGCTTTAAATAGGTCATGTGACTTTGAAGCTAAATAAGGAGGAGATGCCGAAATTGTGGATTTCAGCTTGATCAACCCGTATGTCAGTAGAAGACAGCTACTCAAAGAAACTTCTCAAAAACTCATCTGGAATGAGTCAATTTCTAATCAGAGCCCCAGAGGCTAACAGAGGTGGTTCTGCTATTAAAGTGAACTACGATGCCAAGTCACACAGGTGGAGGCAGCTGTGTGGGCAACTGTCACAGGATCCCGAGTACCACACAACTAAAAAAAAAAAAAAAAAAAAAAAAAAAAAAAAAAAAAAAAAAAAAAAAAACCCTCTGGTTTTTTTCTCTAGAAAGAAACTCTTGGTTTTATGGGAGATGAGCTTCCATCAGATTTTTCCCCAAATAACTAGGTTCCTGCAAACCAACACCATATGACTAATATGACCTAGCTCTTGACAGAAGTTATTTAAGGAGCAAAAATGATTTTACTCTTAAAACATAAGTAAAAATTATTATATTTGGCACTAGTGTGGTGATTCACACCTTTAATCTTAGCACTTGGGAGGCAGAGACAGGCCATAGTGAGACCTTGCCTCAAGAAAAAAAATAAAGCATCGTATTTATGTTTTGCATGCCTTTGGGAAGTCTGAAAACAGTAAGTAAACTACCAGGAAAGCAGAGTATCCTTTGATGACATTTACATGGAGTCAAGGGTTAGATTGGAATAGACAATGCCAGAATATAGAAGCAATGGACAACACAGAAAACATGGATAGGAGAGTTAGCGGAGAGATCAACCATGAAGCAGGAAGAAAAATCACGGGGCTGGTTATCTCTACATGCTAAATCCTCCTCCCCTTTTAACAGCCAGCTAAAATGCCGTGAAAATGCTGTGACCCCTGTCATTTTATCATCTCTAAACTGCGAAAGCTCCTTAACTGGACATTCATTGCTCCTGCCTGGTACTAGAGGTATTTATAGGCATCACACTTTCTCTCCTAGACTGTGAAGAACAAGCATAACAGCTCCATGCTTTATGCTCAGGACCAGACACTGTTATTTAGTATTTGCAGATGCATCACCTCAATGGAATTCTAATAACAGCCCTGTGAGGTGTGTCTCTTTTGTCACTTTGGGGGTGAAAAGAAAACATGTTCCAGAGGCCTAAGTACTTACAGCGTTCTTGTTTTTACAGAAGCCAGAAATGGAGACAAGATTTCAAGTGAAATCTGAAGATGGTGGTTTTCCTGCTCTGAAAGGTTGCCCTGTTCATCATGGCGTTCCCAGCACTGTTCTGAGAACACAGGGGGTGGTGTTCCACAAAGCTTTGCTCACTGGACTAGGGTTACAGAAATTCTAATGAATATGAAGGACGAGATCAACCATCTTGTGTTTCGGATCACTCTCTAAAATGCAGCCCAGAAAATAAAACAACATCAAGATGACTGGTATTATTCTCTACAGGCCCCAAAATTTCCAACTACAAAGAGAGCACAGGAGAAAGGGGAATGGAGACTGCGAGCTGTGTTCTAGTTTGTCCTTGGGTCCGCTCAGTAGAAGACACACTTATTGTACGTAAGAACAAGCTGCTCTAACTGACAAGAGCATCCTCCTTCGTTACACGGATGAAATGCAGAAAATCAGATGCGCACCGAAAGCTTCAAGTCTGTCACCTGAGCCACAGCATACCATCGACTCAGAAATGTCAGCTGTTCATCCTGGAACTGTGAACATTTCTTGGCTGCGGCCTGAATAAGAAGGACCCACAGACTTGAGATTTTCTTCTCTGAACGAGAAGAATGCTAGAGTGGGAGACATCAGCATCAGCCACAGTCAGACATTTCAGAGGCTTTTGTGGAGAGCCCTAAGGCATTATTTTCTTTTTAAACAAATACCACTAAACCAATTTTAATGTATCCACCTATTCTGTTAAGTGTAACAAAACTGAAGTCCAAGAGGGGTGACTCACTTCAGATTACACATTAGCCTCTGACCTAAAACACTATTTGGTATTTATTTTTAATGTGGTCTCTAACAAAAACTAATTAGTAGCGGAGGGCACTGTGTTAAAAATGGTACATTGAAACTGTGTAAAAAGTCACTGAGTAGAGATATAAGATGTGGATTTTAGTATGGGGTATTTTAATCCTTGTTAAAAATTTCCTCATTAATAAAAGGATTGATTTAATGAATGCATTTTTAGAGCTAAAGACCTGTGATCCCATCTATCAAGTACCATTGCTTTCATTGTATCTGCAACAGGCACTACAAGAGACCCATCAGATGTCTACATCCTGAGCCTGGTCCTCAAATTTTTCAGGAGAGATTTCATAACCATATTTAAGAATCTTGAGATGGATAGATAATATGAAATCCCAGATCATCTGTATGGACCCAATGAAATTTCAAGGAAGGTAAAAGGGTCAGGTCAGTACAGAGAGGGCTGGGAGAAGTTAGGGAGATGTGCTTGCTGCTTAGAAGAAAGTCAGGGAACCATGCAGGTGGTCAGGCCCCAGAAGGCAGAACAAGGATTCTTCCTCAGGGTCTTCAAAGGCAGTGAAGTCCTGCTGACAGCTTCATTTTAAAACTTGTGACCTCCATAATTTTAAGATAACAAATGTGTGTTGTCTCAAATCACACGCTTGTGATATTTTAAGCAGTAATAAGAAATTAATGCAAAACTAAATGTGTTTTGGTAAGATTTGTACACAGCTATATCACAAAAAGAAAAATCCAGAAAAATTATCTTTTGTAAAAATTGATTTGATATCAAAGGTGAAAAGTTTCTATTGTTAATGGTTTTGAAGTGAGAAAAGCCTCTGTGGGTGTAGTCATGAGATGTCTACAAAAGTAAAGCAGAGTCATGAGAACAATAATCACAGTAAGGAAAAAGTATTGAGCCGTTATTACATGCTAGGTGCCACGGTAAGAATATGACAGGTGCTATTAAGCCTTGTCTTCAGCATGCTCTGATTTCACTGACCATCCTCCTGCCTGCCCTGCCATTTCACGTGATACATAAGAGCAGCATTTAACCCAGCAAGAGGGACAAAGAGGAGCTGGGAGCAGATGAAAGGATTCGATAATGTTCTTCAAAAGAGAAGCCCGAGCTCACTTATCTTGCTTTAGTTCAGAACATACTCAGGGTTGTGAGCGTGAAATAGGAGGCAGGGCCTTTCATCAGCCTCATGTCAGACACTAGTTGACAGTATCCCACACACTGCTTCTTCTCATGGATGACCAAATACTCAGGCACCTCATTGAAAACCCATCTCCTCTAAGCCAAGTGCAGACACTTGAAGGGGAAAGAGGCATATCACAGATCTGCTTACCAGGCAGTTTTCATCGGAAGACTTACAACTGCTCAACTGGGATTTCCTATGCTGCATTTTCAAGAGAGGTAAGGATAAGAAAAAATACGTTGATGAGCTGCACATTCCTCCTTGACTCAGTTTCCCCAGAAAGTAAAATAAACTGAGTTCTACTATTTTAATCTGTAGTTTTCTACTTTATTTTCTGTATACTATTTTATTTTCTGTGCATGGGCATTTTGCCTGCATGTGTGCCTGTACCCCATGTGTATGCAGTGCCTGCCGAGCCAGAGAGGGTGTCAAAGTCAGTCCTAGGTGCACAGATACATACACAGTCCAAACACTTTCTCCCAGTGTCACTGTATAGGTACTGGGTTGGAATAGAACCCAGGTCTTCCAAAGAGCAGGCGGTGTTCATCACCACTGAGACATCTCTCCAAGCTCTCAAACTCCACTATTGTTAAAACTATTGAGTAATACCTTACCCCCCTTTTAGATCATTCTGCACAAGATGTAGATGCTGAGCTCACCAAAGCTGTCTCTGTGAGCACCATCATAGCAGCAACTCCTAAAATACCTTGCTAATGAATTAATTATGGAAATTAATCATGGAAACAAAAACAGCCCATAGTAAGTCTCAGTGTCTAATTCTAGAATCATGTAGAAAGCATATGTCAGCATTTACTCTTGTTTTCGCTTCATTCTAGTCACGTGTCCTCGGCGTCCTCTAAATATGGACAACAATGCTTCTTCTCATTATTTCATGATTTCAAAGACCACTGACTACATTACTAGGGAGTAAACCTCTGTGTGGAAGCACAAGTCCAACTGTCTAATTGTTATATCATTATGACTAAGCTAAAGAATACTGTGATTAGTTTAGCATGAAATGGAATGAATTAGAATCCCTGGAGCCTCACAAAGTGCAGGAAAAGCAACTATGAGAAGGAGGGAAATACTGTTATTGAAGTAGAAGAGGAACAGCTTTGTGGGGCTTCATTACTTCCTTCACGATGTGAAGATGTGTGTCCTATTTTACACACAGGCATGTGAGCGCAGGCACACACACACACACACACACACACACACACACACACACACACATTTGTATTTTATATAAATAACAATTACAGTGATTAAGTGGCCAAACATTTTGGCAAAACATTTTAAGTATATGGATTTAACTAGAGTTCTCTTTGGATAGCAGTCTGAATACTACTACAAAGATCTTAAGGCAGCTTCTAAAACAGTCATCCCACCGGGATTAATTCTAGGAGTTCTGCCAGGGTATAGGAAGCAGAACTAGCTCTGGCAGTATTGTTGAGATTTCTATGTAAGAAGAACAAAAACTCACAGAAAAATGTCAAGATACAGAACTGGACAAATAAATTCCTTTTGAATCTCCAAGTATGCCCTAAAAGATCTGTTTGGCTAGAGGAAAAGAGGGTGAGAGAGAGTAAGAGAATGGAAGAGGGAGAAGGAGGTGGTGAACCATGGAAAAGTAAAGGAGGAAGGAAAGAGGGAGACTGGTGTGGGAAGGAAGACAGAAAGAACTGTAAATATAAGTGCAAAGAAAAAGGGTAAAAGCACTACAGGGAAAGAAGAGAGGATTGGAGGGGAGATGCGAGGTAAAACTTTAAGTGAACACAGGCGTTAGTATTAGACTCAAGGGACTACATCTGAGGAAGTCCAAGACAAAGATATAAGAACAATTCTCTAAACTATCATTGCTTCTTGCTTTAACACTCACACAAACGTTGGCGGTTCAAATTGGTCTTCATAAACTTGCATCTGCATAAGTTATTCTTGAATGCAACCTGTAGCTCAGATAATTACCGTGTAAAAATACTAAAGTCTCAAAGAGTTTAAGCTTTCAATAGATAACAAACATTTCATTTTATTTACCAACTTCCATGACCTAAATCCTTGTAAGTGTCATTTATGGTTTTTTGAACCAAAGAAGTGCTTGTTGGAGGGTTATATGTGTACCTATGTGTCAGCATACATGGCTATAGAAATCATCGATGCTGCCATCAAAGTGACAAAATGAGATAAAATAACCTCTTGAAAAAAAAGAAAGAAAAGAATGATGCATAATTATCTGAATTTCCTTTAGGAAAGAATCTATTACCAATTAACTTTTTAAAAGTCATACATCTACTTACGTATACTTGTCTTACATAAGCTCTGAATTATATATTGGTTCTCCTTAAATATAAAGAGAATGATGCATCCAAGTCATACAGTAAATATCAGAATATGAATTAATTTAATATTGAGTGATGAACTACTATACAAATGTACAAAGAACAAGACTTACTAGTGAAAAACCACATTAAAGTAAGATAAACTAGATATTCATCAAGGGGAATGATTCATCCATCAAGATAGACCAGACATCCATCACCACGAACCAGCTATCTGTCGAGATGGACCGTGGCTGCACAAGGTGCCAAAAACAGTGTTCAGACCCAAACAAGACAATCATATCATATCCTCTCAGGCTCGGGGAACTTGTGGAAGAAAGCAGAAAGAGTGTAAGAACCAGACAATAGGTTGAAGCACTGTCAAATGTCATTTTCTGTGCAAGACATAGCAATTGAAATTAGAGCAATCAACAATTAGGCATGGATGAATGGCCCTACAGCCTCACTGCTGGACCATTTACTTCTTATGAATTCCCTTCAGTTGTATGCTCCAAAAGATTAAATGCCCTCCAAACAAAAACACAATTTATAAATCTAGGAAAGGAACTGTTAAGGATGGGAGGGGTGATGGGAATAGAAGGGAGATAATGGGAAGGATGTATGATCAGAATACCTTTTATACATTTATACATGAATAAAATTGTCACAGAACAAGATTAAGAAGTGAAGAAACATATTGTACGTCATAGGTAGTATGGCAAAATGGAGACTCAAATATATGGATATCAGATTATAGTATCTGCTATCATCCATAAACTCACCATTGATTTATTCCATAGGAGGAAGAACTACTTTGGAATAGCTTATATCTATATGATAATTACCTAATATTTGTTGAGAATGAAGTACAAACAGATATCCATCAATATCAACAAATATCCATCAAGGTGAATCAGATATTTGTCCAGAGAGATCGGTAACCATCAACATGGACCAAGTGTCAGACAATATGGAACAGATATCCATTAAAGTAGACAGACTCTACCAGCATAGATCAAATCTCCATCAAGATAGAATATTTGTCAAAATTAAGCATATATTTATCAAACTATACTGGATATCCACCAAGAGGCAAATGGGTAAAGCAGAATGTCCTGAATGTCTATGCCCCAAACAGTATCTAACAGTAAAATGAGAATGGCTGATGGACTCAATACAATAAATGGAAAGTAACCAAAAACAAGAGACCTCACAGTAGGTGATTCTACTTATCTAAAATCTAGAAATTTCAAACAGACATAGGTGACAAAATAAAGAGTTTTCTTATGTGTTGAATCCATGAGACCATATGGAGAAATGGACTGTGGAATTCAAAGGATTGTGGTGGTAAGTTGTGGAATTCCAGTACATATTTCTTAAACTTTATTTAGTTATATACTTAGGTGATACCATTATACATCACTAGTACTTCAACAAAGAAAAGGTCTGGTACAGTGCTGCACAATATTAATAATGCATCAGAGGCCTAGAGAGATTGCTCAGTGGTTAAGAACATTTGTGCTCTTGCAAAGGATCTGAGCTCAGTTTCCAGCAACCCATGTGGTGGCTCACAACCTTCCCTAACTCCATTTCCAGGGTATCTGATACCCTTTTCTTACCTCCAGAGTACCCAGTACACATGTGATATAGATGCCTACATATAGGCAAAGTACTCATACACATAAAATATAATAAATAAAGCTGAAGAATTTTTTTAAAGGGCACAAAATTGGCTGGGAAGGGAAGGAGAGTGACCTGGGAAAGAGTTTGGGGAGGGAGTGAATATGACCTAGTAAAGCTAACAAAAATAAATGTAAAAATTAAGCCAATACCAGCCAGGTGGTGGTGGCGCATGCCTTTAATCTCAGCACTTGGGAGGCAGAGCCAGGCAGATCTCTGTGAGTTCGAGGCCAGCCTGTATATATAGCCAATACCAAAAATTGTGAGAGAATGCTTAAAAAAGATGATGCATAAATATTTCAAAAATCTAGAAGAAAAGATTTCTCAAAACTTTTATCACAAAGCAATTATACTTGAGGAGACATTATGCAATGTATACATGCATTAAAACATACTGTTCTCTGTTAATTTGTTTTATGTATCAGTCAAAAATTTCATGTAAATAGAAAGATAATAAATAAAAAGTAAAGTCTGAATGCATATATATATATATATATATATATATATATATATATATATATATATATATATATATCCCCAGATAAATTCAGAAGTCATTTGAAATTCCTAACCATCCTGTGATAAATGAGTGGAATTTTTATGGTAAGAACCTCTCCCCTCAGGATTTATCTAATATTTCTGATACTTCTAATTCCCTGAGTAAGTCAAAGGAGTGAACGCCACTGATCTCCAGTGATGGAAGAAAAATATCAAACCCTGGAAGACCTAATGAACAAGACAGCCACAGGAGAGAAAAAGAGGTCCAAGAAAACAATGTCTTCTTTTGCTTCTGGAATGTGATATGCCTTGATGCGCACAGACTTATCTAAAAGTCTCATCAACTCGGTAAGGGTACAAAGACAAGTCTACACCCTGGAAAATTTTGACAAACATTCCATATCACACAATTTTGAAAGCCTCTCAGTCCTTGTACCTTCGTGCTTACTTTCTGAACACGTTTCCCCCTCTGGTTTGAATGTTGTCAGCCATATAATTGGGCAAAGAACACCGAGAATGGCATTTCATTACGTCATGTATTTCCACATAAAAAGGTAACAAAATATTTAAGAAAAAGTAAGTAGACTTATTGCATAGCTTTGGACAACTCCTGTCTCCTGTAACTAAATGCAGGAGCACACTTCTCAGGATGTTCAACTAGTCCTTGGAAATGGAACAAATATCAAATGGAACAACTCATACCAAGTAATTAATACAGTAATTTTCTGGCTAACAATTATTTTAAAAATCATATTTACTCCAAATTCAGCCACAGGATTTTAGTTCTAGGATTCTCCTCCAATACCCAATCTGTGGATGATAAAGTCTCTAAGACTAAATGATATCTCATTTCTATGGATTCACATCCTTCTATATGCTTTAAATCGTGCTGAATTATGTAGAATACCCGGGACAACACAAATCATATGTAAGTTGTTAAACTGTCTCATTTATGAAATAATGACCAAGATAAAAGATCTGTATGTATTCAGCACATATGCAATTGTTTGTAAATATATTTCATCCACAATTGGTTGAATTTACCAGTGTTGCACCCACAGATGCAAAGATTTTGTTTTGTTATCCAAAATTCAATCTATATATACCCAGAGCACACTAAGAGTACTCTGTTCTCTTGTGTGCATAGAGAATTGACTCTCTCAGAAATGTAATTGTTGATGGCATCCACAGAAAAGGTCTATTTTCAGTTATTAAGGAACCATGATGCTGCTCATTTTATAATGATTCCTGCCTTCATCTTATAATGGCTGTTTGGAAGAGAAAGGCCATTCTTAAGCATGAAAATGCAATATAAGGAAGTAGTCAAAGTCTTTTATGAATAAGAGCAAAGTATTTTGAACCATGGGAAGCAAAAACCACAACCACATGTGTATCTACTCAGCCAAAGCAGGAAAGATAATTAAGTAGTTAATATTGTGACTATGGTAGACATGAGATTTTTTTAATAAATAAATCAATTCTTCTGCTTCAGCAATCACTTTTTCAAGGAATTTGAAACAAATAGTTAAGAATTTGCTAGCACATATATTAAGAAACATGTCTTTAAACCATGGGGAGAAAGAAAAATAAGCTAACTCTCAAGTTTTTTCTTCACACACATATCAGAAAATTCTCTCAGTTCTTTTATCCAAGGAGTAAAACATGTTCCTGGCCAACATGACTAAAGAAGTACAGAAAGTCAAACAGAACTGTTATTGATGACTGCAGTGAGCAAGGATGAGTGTCTGAAATCACCTGAAACTTAGTGGACAGCTCTGAACTTGCTAGCAAGGTGTACTATCTCTCTATTTGATGTTGAATGTTCAGCAGACTAAACTGTTGATATTCACTAGGTAATGGCACTCACACTTTCTGCTTTTATTTTCTAACCAAACACCAAAGGGCATGAACATTAATTCCACAGAACAAAACAATGTTTTCAGGTTAAATTCAAGGCATAAAGAGATGGCAAAATTTATTAATATAAATATTTATTGTGTTCTAATAATTGTTTTTAAACAACTACAAAAAGGCACAATGTGTCACAAGCAAATATATCAAATATATAAACATGCTTACTGTGAAATTCTTGTCTGTGTAGCCAGGGTAACCTGTAGTTTAGGCAATACTATATATTTGTGTGCCCCTAGACTAAGAAAGTTTGCCAAAACACACAGTGAGCTCTCTATTCCTCGAAGCTTATAATTTGCTCCACATAAAAAATAAATGTAAGATGTAAAACCTAATAGAAATGAAGATAACTTTAAAACACATTTTATAAAATATTATCTCCAAAAGTACATATAATCTAGAGACCATACATATCCTATGGTTCAAGGATAAAGAGTTTGAAAGACAGGCTAAATTAGACTACTCTTTTCCCATGCATTGTTTCTACACACAGGGACAAGTTAGCTATAATTTGTTCTGGGGAGAAATTCTTCATAAAAAGAGATAGGGTAATAAACTGTTATGAACTAAAGAAGGATATGAATAGTTCATAATTCCTGTCATCAAACAGTGAACTCTGTCTCCATCTCTTGAATCTACAATTGTCCATATGACTTGTGTGGCTAATTAAAACATTAACAGAAAGACAAAGATAATGCAAATAGATGCTTGAGTGGTTCATCCATCATATTTACTCTCTCTTAACTGCTTCAGAGCTCAGCTTCATGGGAAGCTTACCCTACCCCACTGGGTTTTGAAGACGGATTTTTGGTCACTCAGGCGACATTTGTTTAAGGCAGTTTGGGGTGAGTCGGCCAAGAGTATACCTCCATGCTGGGTATAGCCACATATGAAAGCTCTGATGATCCTGAAAGAACCAGCCAAGGGAACTCAGCCAAACTGCCAATACACAAAATCACTATATTCTGAAGTTGGTTGGTACTTGGAAAATGCTAATAGATACATGTGCTAAACTAGCTTACAATGAAAGCCTTTAACAATTTGAACTGGGATTTATGGCCCTATTTATTGTAAATTGGTTCCATTAGATGCAGGATTAATTTATATGGACTGAGGGCTAATGAAAAGGAAAGAAATCTAGAAGATTGGAACCAAAGTTGATTTCTAAAATATAAACAGAATGGAGAAATACAAATTAAACTCTAGAACTAAGAGTTTCATAAATTAAATCCCATAAAATGAATTATATAGCCTTAGCATTAGAACTAAGTTTTGTAATTTCTCAAGGGGTCAAGAATTTACCTTGAATTCATGAATCTTGAAAGAATATAAGGGGAGATATTCCAAGATGCTGAAGACTCAATGGTTTCCACATATTTGTTGGCTATTGATCAGTACAGGCACATTTCAGTCTCTAACAAGTGGCAGGGCTATGACAGTGTGTGAAAGTCCATTCCAAAAACACCCACGAGTCTTTAAAATCAGAAGCATTGTCATAACTTTGCTACCTCATTTGGCATATTAATGTGTTTTAGGTTTTTATGTGCTTATTTTAGAAACTGTGAAGTAGCTCTTGGCTTTATAGCCTGTTTACAAAAGTGACTGAACCCTGAATATGTAACTATGACTTGGGGTGTCAGGACCTCTCTGGCAAACAAGGTACACTTAGAAGAAATAGAGAATTTATTATAATATAAATTTATTCAAATTTTAAAAAGATTACTTGTTTCTTTCAACAATGTATCTCTACTAAAAAAGGAATAATTGAGACCAGTTATAGTTTAATTGAGTCAATTATTCCAAAATTGGTAATCACAAAGATGAGTAGCTAATAAGAAATATAATAAGGTCTCAGAGGTTAGAATGAGAAATATTTGAAAAACATCCCAGGATGCTTCAAATTTTTCATAAATCTGGAAGAAGAACTTGAAAACAATGGCAATGGTGGTGGGGAACCTGAGTCTTTCATTAAAATTTTGAACCTGGGAAGTTAGGCAGACAGACTGTTCCTCAAGGGCATTAGACAGTACCAGAATATCCTGTGCTGTTTCCAGAACACAGTAAAAAACATAGCATATGTTCTCCTTAAAAACCAGGGTTCTATGCAACTGGACTCTCTTAAGCAAGACATGAGATTCAGTCCTCCAGTGCTGAGGTGCTAAAAGATGGGCACAAATAGGAGAAGCATTTACTCCTCAATAGTAACACATCAAGTGAGTGAAAAGTTAGGCATTCCTTTATGAAAACGTGAAGAAAAGGAATAAAGTGGAGAAGGAAAACAAAAAGGAGGAAAAAATGGAAATGAAACCTGTGTTCAAGTATAAATCTTCCATAGCGACATTCCTGTGAATCTGCTGAGAAGTATGCAGATAGTATCTTAAGACATTATCTTTCTTGAAACTGAATAAAGGCATAAGGGATGATATATAGTATCATTAAGAGAGACAAGGCAACTGAAGCAAGGATCTCCAGCTAGAATGAGAAGATAGACATATAATTAACCTGATCTCTATGATCCAAATGAGAAGGAACAGGGGACCACTTACAGGAGGATGGAGAACTAAGACAAAAGACTTTGCCTTCAACTGCTTCAGCAACATTTGTCGTTCTAAAGCAATCTACTGTATGAATAGACAAAGCTGAGGTCAACATATAGCCACTCTATTATTGATAATATTTAAATGATTCATGCTGCTGAGCTAAAGAGAACAGCAAATGACTCCCAAAGTTGTTTCTTGCCATACCAGTTTCATTATTGATATAATACATCCTCTTGTGAAAAAAAGGCAATGTCAGAGAAATGAAAATCCTTTTATTTACAAGTGTTCAGTTTTCTAGGGGAAGCAAGCATCAAAAGATGTTCAAAAACTAAATATATATGTGAAGATACTTATCACATATTTGTTTATAATAAAAATATTTAAAGTTGAGAAAATACACACCATATTGGAATGACCAAGAAAAATTATGCACATTGAATGAATAGAATATCGTATAGGTGGAAAATCTTAGTAATAAAATAAAATAAAAATAAACTATGTAGTAATAGTAAGAAAATGGTAATGATATATGCTCAGGGATAAATACAATTTGTATTATAAATATATGACAATTGCTATGAGGTAGGATAGAGATGCATAGAGGAAAGGGAACTGGAGAGAGGTTATTAAAAAGCTTTTCCTCTCTATTCTGTTTTATATATTAAAAATGTAATATAGTTATATTATTATAGTAAACCAGTTATTTAAAATAACTCCTAAGGTTTTTATTATAATAACTATGGCTTTCTTTCATTATCCCTGCATGCCATCATAGTTACTTGAGGTCATTATATTAATCTATATTACTATATTACTGTCATAAGATAAACATACTTCAATAGCACTCTTTAAAAATACTTAGCATTGACTGTGCAGCATTCACAAAGCAATGAGCAAATAATGTCTTCAGCCTTCTCAGTATAAATGTACAAGTTGAATCCCCCAACAATGTGTATGTTCATGTCTGTGTGTGTCTGTGTGTATATGTCTGTGTGTCTGTCTGTGTGTGTACGTGTCTGTATGTACAAGTGTATATATGTGTGAATGTGAGAGACAACCTAAATGTCTGTTTCCAGCTTGTTTAAGACACGGTCTCTTCTTGTTCAGTGGTACATTGCTAGGCTTGCTGGCCCACAGCTTCTAGGGAATCCTGTTTCCACCTTGTATCTTGCCATAGGAGCTACAGGTAGCCAGTGCTAGCATATCTGGCCTTATATGGATTCTGAAGATCTGAACTCGGGTCCTCACTCTTGGAAGCAAGCTCTTTACCTATTGAGACACCTTGCCCAAAAACATCATACACATCATTAACTGTTGAACTACATGGAGCACACCACATTCCCGTGGGTCTCTATATCACTGAGTAGCATAAGCCAGGGGAAATATGTCATTTAGCTTCTACTAGAGTAAATGCAAATGAAGGTACTTTTCACAATTGTATATTAGTCTCTTCTAAAAGACTGCACAGAAATAAGAAGCACAAATTAATCATTTTATTCACTCAAGGAATAAAAAGATATAGGTAACTTGATTTAGATGTGAACAAATAAAGTGAGCCAACTACACATTCACCCAACTCTTTCTCCCAAAACTTCTATTGCAATAGTATATGGAAAAGCCTAAGCACTTCCTTCTCTGAGCAGCTGAAAGAGCTTGCTGTTGTTGTTGCTGTTGTTGTGGTGGTTGTTATTGTTTTAGAGCGTTAAGCACAAACATGTTTATTGTCCTAGTAGAGAGGGGCAATGACAAATTCTGGTCATGTTTTTCTTCTGCTGACACTTAGCTGACTGTATTTATCTCCACTCCCAGGCATCCATAGAAAATAACAAATTATTTCAGTGTGATGATTTTTAGCAGGATAAATCTATAATCTAGTAGGTTTGAGTTTTCATCACTCATGCAAGCATACAAAGACGAGTTTTAATTATTGATGATTAATCTGGTTTTCAACCTTTTCTCCGTGTTATCCATTGAGAAACCAAGAAATATCTCTAAATAGAATTTACTAATAGAAGTAATGACAGTATCTAAATTAAAATAAAATGCTATTTTATGTCATTATAAACCCTGTCTACTGATTATCCTCCCCAATATCTTATCTGATCATTTGCTAGTAACTAACATCTGACAACTAAGGTGATCTGAGAGGTTAGTGCTAGGTCAACACTGAACCTGCTAAGAACCTGTGGAGTCCTAAGACTGAGTTATCTGAGTTGTCTGCCTAGTGCTTCCCATTCACTATCTGGGAGCTGCCTAGAATTGTTCTTGAGTACATTCTGTGAAGCCATCTTTCTGGCCAGAGTTTCATAATGAGATACTTTTACTCCTATTCTACGAAGACAGCAACGTTTACTTCTTCATGGCTAATGGCCAAGTTTTATATGTAGAATGACTAAACTGTAAATAAACACTGTACTTTGTGAAATTATATGTTTAAAAATATTAAGGAATAGAAAAGCATGATTATTGAAAATTTGTTTTAAATAACTAATAGAAAAAGAAATGACTGTGACCTTATTTTTTTCTAGGGGTCAATGGGGATTAACCATTCCTCTGTTCAAGTATAAAACTTAATACTTCTATAGAATAATTAAGTAATTGATAATCAATGTTAATTAAAATTTTTCTAGTGTCATAGAATCCATCCATTGATTCTAGAAAAAAAATGAAACCGAAAATCAAGTTACAGAGATAAAATCTAAAATGAAAGTTAAAGGTAATTAGGCTAATATATTTATATTCAAATGCACACATAAGGAGGCATTTTCTTCTGAAAACATAACAGCCCTTCCAGGGATACAAACCTCCAAATTGTCAAAGTTTGTTCTGCAATCATTCAAACACAACTCACAGGCTTTAAAATATTGCCCCAAACAGGATAATGTTATATGATATAAAGTTATTTAATAACTAAGAAATGTAATCTACTTAATGTAATCTTTCAATTCCACATTCCACTCTCTGGCTAGGTGAAGATGCATCTTAAATGCATTTTCTTTCTCTTAAAGTGCTTCTGAATGAACCACACAGAACATTCTGGCATCGATTACTTTCAATCTGTTTCAGAAACTGTAAATAAATACATGTCCTTTCATCTCTAATTTCCAGTATTAAGAAAAATGTCTACCTCATTTCCCCCTTCATAATGTGTCAACAAGCAAGTCAACTGTTACAATCCCTTCAAATATTAATGATGTGCTGGATAATTTAGGACAATATACATTTTCAAGTATATAGATACTTCAGATACTTTCAAAAAAATTATGTAGTGTAGAAAAAATATCTTACTCTCAAGAATTCGCATTTAATACACAACATGTCATATTTTGAAGGCACCAGGAATAGTCACTGCTTCTTAAAGTAAAGCCAAGAAATCCCATGAGATGACGTTTTTATAATTAAAGGTATTTCTCTAGCAAAATGGCTAGAAACTGAAAAACTTTCAAATTTAAAGAGAATCCAGGATGCATTTGATTCTAATGGCTTTAATGAAGCAAAATTGAACTAATGCTCCACAAAACCAAGCAATCCACTTGGCTTTATTTTGTTCAGTTATTTATTTATTTTCCTTTCCATTCACTGACCTGACCAAGTGTTTTGGCTTCAAGTAGTAGCAACTTCAATTAAAGATAATGTTTGTTTGGCTTGAATGAAGACTCAAACCAGGGACTCTAATGTAAGTCCTGAGATACTCAGAAAACAAACAAGGTAGTCCTTAAGGCACACTTCACAGAAGAGTAGGGTGTTCTCAAGGTAATGATACCAGGAGAGACCCGCAGATGCCATCTCAACTGCATCTCAATATTGGAAGCCTTACTTCCAAAACAGAAGATCTAGACATGGTATGACTTAAATTGAAGTTTAAAAGAGAAGCTGGCATGAAGTTGCTTTAAGAATGAACTTCATTAGGAGACATATATTCACCACTATAGTCAGCCATGACCAAGTCTAGAATTAGGAGAGCATGAGAAATGATGGCCACCAAGAATAGCATGAAGGGGTGTCCTAAAGAGACAGACCTTTCGCTCCAGAGAACAAAAGAGCTTTTCAGTGGCATCAGGAAGTTTTCCCCATACCATGTGGCTTAGCTAGGTCTAAGCTTTGTCCAAAGGGGTAATAGGCAGGTACTACAAGCTTATCCTACAGCTATAACCTGTAAGGCCATGCTTTCTTATCAACTTTCTGTTCCAGAAAGAGACTGTAGGGATGGAGACATGGCCTGATTTCTGGAAGAGGGAGAGAGGTATATGGAGTCTCTATAAGCTAACAAGACAGTGTCTTGAGAACAAATGAAAATCTGAGCCAACACCAGCTATATCTCAGCAATGCAGACTAAAAGTCTCACAGAAACATTAAAATTGATCTCACATTTTCTCACTTGACCAACTGCAATTACACAATTCTGTTTCCTAGTAGATGTAGTAGAAATAGCCACCCAAAACAAACAAACAAAACTTTTTGCATTTAAGAACAAAATCTATGCCCTTATTTAGGTCAGAATTTGTGGAAGCAATATCGGTTGTATTTTTTTAAAAGAAAATATTCTTATGGAAACAGAAGAATGATGATCTCAGAAATGCTACTCAAGAGATTTTTAAAAATAACGTTTACTCTTTTTCAGATATTTCTAATTTGTGTTGTCTTCTTTCACTTCTGTACCTCTCTTTGTCTATCTGTCTACCTATTTACCCATCTATCTGTCTATCACTCTACCTATCCATCATCATCACCACCACCATCATCGTCATCTGTCCCTATACTTCTCTCTCACTACTCTCTCTCATGTTACTAAATTAAAGAATGTTGAGAGGCAGAGGCAGGTGGATCTCTGTGAGTTCGAAGCTAGCCTGGTCTACAGAGGGAGTTCCAGGACAGCCAGGGCTACACAGAGAAACCCTGTCTTAAAAAACAAAACAAAAGAAAGGAAGGGGAGGGAGGAAAGGAAGGAAGGAAGGAAGGAGGAAAGGAAGGAAGGAAGGAAGGTAAATTCTGTGGAGGAAATACTTTGCACACAATTACCATCACTCTTTGAAAACACTAACTATTGTTACAGCTTTAACAACCCCTCCCCCCCCCCCGCCTCCAAAAGTAAGTTATGTCAGCTTGGATTTAGAACTATTTATTATTCTGTTGGTTCAGAAGCTATTATTTAAAAAAGTACATTTCAGGAAACAAGATACGATTTTTTTAAAGTGTCATTTCTTCATAATAGTCTGGCAGTTCAAGCTCCAGTAAGAAACTAGACCCTGTCACAAATGTAGATAGCTTCTGAGAAAGAAGAAAACATAGGAACAATGGGCAAAATTGGATTTTTTACAAAAATGAATCTTTTTCATATCTTAAAAATTCATTTACCTAGATATGATTTTCTGAAGATTCAGGACATCTTGCATAGCCCAGCCTGCACTTAAGGAACATCTATGGAAAAAATAACTGCTGAATGAGAAGTCTGTACACAGTTTTTTTCTTCTAATTTTAGTCTGGGTAGGACACCCATAAACATCATTAGAATTTTTTTTCCCCTTTGGTAATACTATACAGTAGGATAAATCTGAAAATCTTCATAATAGAACACTTCATTGTCTTTGTTCAAGCTTCCCAGTCAGGGTTGATGTCAGCCACAAAGGGACCAACCTAAAAATAGACTGAGTGAGCGGACTATAGCTTGCCTGCTGTCAGCTCCTCACGTTAGCCCTGAGTGGAAAATTCAGGTGCTGCCTCTTTGTGTATAAACACCTCCCCTTAAGCAAATCAATGTAGCAGTCAAAGCAGTTTCAGTAGCCTAAGGTGTAACACAAGAGGCATTTAAAAAGCTGGCAAATCAACATTTTTGTCTAGGGATCAAAATGAGGCTGATGTTTATGTTTATGAAAATGAGGACATGTTTATGAAGCAAAAGACATCAAACTCCCCTTATTTGTGACTCAATACCTAATAACAACTATGTCAGAACAGATTTTATTGTTGTTATTATTATGTTCCCAGGTCGTTCCACACCAGCATTGTTTCTACACAGTACTAAAGCATCTGGATGAAAAACAGGAAGAAAAAATCTAATCATCCAGCTGTTTCAAAAATCCCAGCTGTTCAGTAATAGGCAGAAAAGAGCTAGCATAATGACAGGACAGAAGAGACTCACAATGCAGGTGACAGCAGGAGCTCTCTGGATGTGCACTGCTATGACCTGATTTATAAAATAGCAAGACATCTACTTAAATCACACACAAATAGCTCCTGCTAAGAACTGTGTGAACAGAGAATGGCAATGTCCTTCATATTGCAGGCTCAGGTGGAAGTAATGATGTGTGACAAGAGTGGGGTCTTGGGAAGGTGGGCGAGCCAAGCATTTTCTCTGTCTGTCTCTTCAACCTTAAAATATGCTTAGTAATCAGGTGAACGATCAAAAAGCAAACAAAAATGATATCTCTGTATACTTTACTTTTTCTTTAGTTTAAACATACATTATAATCTTACACCATTACTCATCACCAAAGCCCTTCAGGGAAGAAACAAAATATTTTCAAGTCAGATGGCTTTTTTTAATCTCTTGCAAAGGTTATAATGTAACTAAGCCTTTATAAAACTGAAAAAAAGGGGGGCAGGAGGCTTCCAGCATGTGATTTCCAGCATGTTTTAGCAGTGAAGGTAGGATTTACCTCCTGTGACATGAGACTAATCTCTGAGAGTGACACCATGGATGTACAAGGAGGAAATGGCAGTTCCTGAAGAGAACTGCTCCCATCTAAAGATTCCTCTCGATCTCTTGAGAGAATAAAAATAGGCTGGCATCACAAGATGACTCACACCTTGAGATACTGTATGTTGCTTCATGCTTATCTATCTAGTCTAACCCTTTCTTTCTCACACTGCCTGAAAGCCTGTGAAATATGTGGATTCTGATAGTGAAATGACACCTCTTCTCTGCGTGGATGAAAAGCAGTCACTGCAACGGCTAAATCAGCAAGGAGCATATGACAGCAGAGTTCTAATTAGGTTGCACAACTTTTATGATTTCTCCATTCCTCTAAGCATTACACACAAGCAATAACCAACATAAACATCAACACATAGCTCTACGTTAGTGATGTTCATTCCCAGAGCTTCTGTTGGTTACCTAGCTCAGTTTCAATATATGACCAGTGCCCAAGTGTCAGTCTTTTAAAGATGTGAGAATACCATTTGCAGAAGGGAAAAGTGAGTTTTAGCCTAATTTTGCAGCAGCGGGTGTAGCTTTCACATGTAAGTGTTCTAGGAGACAGAAAGCAGAGAATTGTGACAGTGGGACATGCACTTCCATATGCCTACTCTAGGAGATGCATGCACTCTTCTGGATACCTTGGGTTAGCAACAATATATAATTAGCATTATAAAATGCAGCTGTTTTTAGACTGATCTAGCTAATTATGCCAACAAATTGATGACTTCATTTAGGCATCACTCCTTGCTTCTTGACCACCTGCCTCCTACTCCGCCTGTCTCTCAGTTGGCTCTGGTCCTAGATCCTGATTCTATTCTGGAAGAAATTGGTCAAGAACTCTGAGGTCACTTATAGATACTCAGAAAAGTTACCCTAATATTCCAACGGTATCTGTTTACTATGATACAGTGAGCAGGCAGACACATCTTGTGTTGTATTTTATAATTACTGAAGTCAGTTTGAAAACAGACCAAAAACAAATGTTGCAAAAGAAGGCATCAAATACACCTGCCACCATCCAATCAATGCACAAGTGCCTATCTATGTTAGAAAGCCAAAATGGTTATATGAAATCTATCGATTTAAATATAATATTGAAAGTCAAGGAAGGAGTACAGAAATGCAAAGGGATTGCATTATATTCTCAGGAAGAATGAATTAAATAAGTCACTATTTCCAGGCTACATCTCTCTCCAAACAAATAGTTCTGACTATATATTGCAACCTCCAAATATATTAATTTCTTAAGATGGTTAGCTAGAAATATGCCTGAAGTTAATAAAATAATATGAAACTTAGGATCTCTAACTACTCTTTTCTTAAATCTCATTCTATTATTAAGACAATCAACCTGAAATTTAAAAATTCTGGGAGAAGGACAGCTAGTTTATTTAAGGGTGCTCCTAGCAGGTCAAACACATTCCAGTGAATGACACACACCCAAGAATACAAAGGCAGCACTCATTGGCTTTGTTGTTTTGAATGCAAGCACAAAATTGAGTAGGTATGGAATGGGAGATAGATATGGAAGAAGAGAAGGTAGGGGAGCAAATATGAACAAAATGTATGAAATTCTCAAGAATTCATAAAAATATTTTTAAAAATAGATAATGACCTATTAAAATTTTGTTTCAACCAGAAATGGCAAGTAAGTAAATAAATCTTAAACCAAAGGCTTTCCCTAGGGAGTCTATAACCTCTTCACAGACATCAGTCCAAAGAGACTCATTAATTATTTCCTACTCTCCCTGGTAGCAACTGAAAACCTCTTTTGGATCATGATCCCTACCATTGAGAAGGAAAAGAAAGACTCACTCAGGTGCTATCAACGCCATGAGTGTTCTTTGGGGAAATCACCAATCCATTCAAGTACAAGCTTATTCAGTCTATAAATAGAACAGCATGCATCTTCCAAGCTAGCTAAGATGGTCCTTATCATGACTGGGTATGGATTCAGATAATTATCATCTGGTCTTATACAAAAGCCTGTATTCTCCAACTATTTTATGTGAGTGCCTTCAGAGACTAAGAGATATTAATAACATAAAACTTTTAATATTATAGTTAAATTGGACAATTGAGGAGACATATCCAGCAAAATTTACAAGAAAAACACAGAAAGATAATAGCTTTAGGTAAGTCTAATTTCTAAAGACTACTAGGTTCCTTTCCATGTGCATCTTTTATAGAATGAAAATAATGTGTCTAAAAATAAACATTTTGCAATGTCCCATGAAGGAAAAATCAAGCTTTCTTCCTGAGATGGACACTCCTTGTCCCTGTATCCCATGGGACTCCTCAGAGGTTAGCTCTAATGCCATTGTAGGTCTAAGATACAAAATCTAACCTAAAGTTTAAAAAAAAAATTACAATCCTCAAATATCACCATTTCTCCACAACGCATATATTTTACTAATGGAAAACTTCACCTTTTCACTTCAGGCTATCTTTTTGCAGTATCTCAGATTACTCATTTGCTTATACACATTTTGTCCTAACAAAGAAAGAATAAGAAATGCATAATACACATAACATGTGCATTATGATATGTATGATATGTAAATGTGATTCTTCTGAAACAAACGAAATTAGTTGGTCCAGCTTTAGTTGATACTCAGACTCTGTTTATATAACTGCTTTTTGAAGTGATGGACCTCCACTAACCAGTAATTAAAGAAGCTGTGGACAAAAACATCCTTGCTCTCCTGATACATGGAAAAGTGAAAAGAATGAAGCACATTTCTGCATGATATTAATGTCTAAAAGAAGAGAGACCATCCTCTATATTTACTGGGTTTTCCTAGATGACTGTTAAGAATACTGTTAAGATGGGCTAACATGTCATCTGACATTTCACAGAAAATATTAACCTGCATATTTGATCCATAGCTACTTTCTGGTTTACAGCATCTGCAACAATCACCTCTTCATTATCTCTGAAAACCACAGGAACCAGACAAAACTGCCCTGTGTGTTTCATATTTATCTCCTGCATTGGCTCATCAGACTTAGCTGCACAGTTAGGTCTTGCTTATTTTCTGAATTCTGATTTTTTTCTTTACACGGTGTTTTTTGAGTCAAGGTTTTGATATGTAGCCCTGAAACCACTTATGTAACCCAGGCTTGTCCTGAACTGGTGACCTCCCTGGCTCAGCTCCTCAAGTGCCGGGATTAAAGGCATGTGACACTATGTTCATATCTGCATACTCTATTGATGTACCCTTTTATGGCTTTGTATTTCCAAACCGTCTATGTATCAATGGAAAATGGAATTCCGAGCCTGAGTAAAGACAGTCCTGGATGAGAAACCAACTATGAATAATCTATAAAATAGATCACTCCTAGGTCAGAAAGCAAGAGTTAAATAACTATTTCTGGATCAAATCTCAAAGTCATCTAGATGCTGGTGACCTTCATACAAATTTACATTTCAAGACACCAGTAACAGCAAATAGATACAAACTAAAGCTTAGGTCAGCCCCGCTGTGGCTCATGAATTGGAGAGTATGATTTCCAGGATGATAAGGTTTCATAAGGAACACAGAATTGGCCTGATAAATCCCCTCTGATCCTGAAATCTGAATGGGAAATGCCTGGCTCTCTCTGAGAACCTCAGCTGATAAACATGTGCTATGCTCTTCAAAGGTACCAAGTCATGCCTGGGGTTTAATCTTTCTCCCTCTCCTCCAAAATGATCAGATTTTCTGAACCTCAAATTGGACCAGATGGCCTGATACATATTAGCATACTTTTATGAAGAAGATACTGTGAGAAATCAGGACTGCTATGGAAACAGACAACGAAGCCAGAAATAAAATTTCTATCACAGTCCTAATCTTAATTTACTTTTTAGAAGTACATATTCCCATTTACTGAAAAAAAAATAGCTTTGGTTTCTTCAATCTTGAACAAAAAATATTTCATCAGCCTTCATTCAAATAGGAATTCAGATCCCAGTATTAAAAAGCAAGATTTTGGTCTAATCTAGGGAAGCTACATTGATCTGGAAAATTATATACTTAAAATCAAGTTTCTTGTCAGCAGGAAAACCAAGCGGTACCTTTTGTCCATATCAAATGTCCCTTGCAGAATTCAGATTGACTTTTGGGTCAAGAAGATTTCCTGGAACAGGCCCTTTTGTCACTGAATGACAGCCCATAACCATTCTAAACTGTATCAATAAAAAAAAAAAGACACAAGATATCCATTACACTCTGCATGGCGCACATGAGCATGTCACCACAGGAACACTTTTTAAAATGTAAACAAAATCTACATATATTTCCACTTGACTTGGTAATGACATTAATATGACAGACACACCAGTGCCCTGAAAATTAGCAATGGACAACACCATTTCTGATTCTGTTGAAAAGCAGAGTTCTGCTGTTATTATTTAAATCAGACGAAAATTACTTCCCATGATTAATAATCACTTTTTATGAACTAGGACAATACATATGTTAGCCCTGTATATTTTCCTTGGTTATATCTATTCATAGTTTGGGTTTTATTTAAACATATGCATGTTTAATGAAACGGGCTTTTTGTTTTGTTTTTCAAAGCTTCAATGGTTCTATGTGAAATAAACTCAACAAGAAATGCAAAAATGCTTGTAAAGTACTACACATGTCTAAGCATAAAATGAGTTCCCAGCACAGGTCAGAACACTATGACAACACTGCTCTTCAATAAAGAAAAACAATAAAAATATTTACTTACCAACCTTCACTTGTATGTATTCAACTGGAGACAGAGGAGGTATTTTTCACTAATTGAATACCTTCCCTTTATAAGTTTGTAGAATAAAGAGCTTTAAAATACACCCTATTCACTCAGTTTGGTTTATATTTTAAAATTATCAAATTCTTGATTTTTCAATTAATTTAACAATGATTACAAATATTATGATGTTGTTGCTTAAAAAAAACCACAACCTCTGCAGATGGTGTTATCATCTCAATGGGGTATTTAGTTAAATCAAAATAGTCTTATCAACTTCATAGTAGAATTTGGGTACTGAAGGGATAAAATAAAAATGTACCCCAACATTCCAATTTGTATTTTTAAAAAGAAGTAAAGAAATAATAAAGCTTAAGAATCAAATGACACAGTCTATGCACAGCTCTTGTGATTTCCCTGGACCAACCATCACTCCTCTGGCACCATCTCCCTTTTAGAGAAATGAAAAGAATATCTGCTCTTCCTTTCTTTCTCATAACCATTAGGTATCACTGCTTCCTTTTTAAGAATTTGCAAGAAGTAACAGTGCATCGACCTGTGAAAGGATCCTGATTAAGATGACATTCAGATGGTGTGATCTGGTTGTCATCTGGAAAGGGCTTCTGATCCTAAGCATAATGATCTTGAATGGGATTGCTTCTATTTTTCTTTCCCTGTATGGTAAACCTGTACATATTTCAAACCTGTATGGTGGCATCTAAGAAAATACAGTTTCCTAAATCAGTTTACACAGCAGCATTATTCGTTGGTAGAAAATCTTCACAAAGGTCCTAAAGCACTTTGCATAGCTTGAACCTGGGAATTGTCAGTTCACAGGTGAACTGAACAGCCGACTTCCACATGAAGAAGTGCCACTCGCACAAATGCCCACCCTCAAGGCAAAGGGGCCTAAAGCTTTCCTCTCAAGGTAGAATTAATCCACGCACCCTAAGATAAATTCATCTTGCATGGAGGAAAACACTTTGAATGACGATCTAATATTTGGCTTGAAAGCACATGACTGACAGTTCCATCAGTTTCCGTAAAAAAAAAAAAAAAAGAAAGAAAGAAAAAAGAAAAGAAAAGAAAAAACCTCTGTGAGATAAAGGAAGCCCCAGGATTCTTAATTATCTGTAGCTTATGAAGTCTCATAATTTTCAAATTAATCCATATCATCAAATAAACTTAATATAACTTTTCTGATTTAGAAAGGAAATGCCAAAGAAACAAAGAAATTCCGAACATTTCCCGCCTTATCACAGACAAAGCATTACTGTTACTTCTACAAAATACTCAATGAATGCCCCATGCTAGAGAACTGTTGAATAATTTAGAAATCATATCAATTACTTGCATTAAACTCAACATTTCAGAGCTTTCAAGCTTTCCTTTGCTTTCCTAAATCCTGGGACTTAATATGCTTTTCTACTCATTACAAAAAAGAAAAAAATAAGGTATAGACATGTTTAAGTGACTTTTGCCAAGGGATTATGACCATGCCTGTCAAAGGCTCATTACATTTTGCTCCAGTGCAATGTATTAGAACATCATTGTGTTAGAACTTCTGTACAATGTATTAGAATGCCGTCTCTGGAATCCTGATCACAAGGTGCCACCGTGTCATTCAATCATCTCCACCGCTTGCTGCCTTTCCTTCTCCAGACAGAGTTCTAGCAAAATGTTTCCCCATGAGTGTAGAGAAAAGACAGGAAGAGAGGCATTGACTAGAACTCTTTTCACTTCAAACACCATTAAAGGAGAGGGAGAATGTATCCAGGGATTTTGGGGGCCAAAAGTATTTGAGAAAACCAATTATAAGGGTGGTGTGGGGGTGTTTCTTTTGTTGTTTATTTTTGGTTTATTGGGGTTTGTTCACATTTGTCAAGTTTGTTACAGGCTGAAATGGCAGACACAGTGTTATCCCACAATGCTCAGGACAACCATTTTTTAAGAAGATTTTATTTTGTTTGGTTTTGTTTGGAGTTTTATATATATATAAATGTTTTCATATATATATATATGAGAGTAAGGCCTCGTCTGTGTTTTACTGAGTGATCTGAGCTGTATTTCATGGTGACACAGTGGTGCAAGGCTCATCACTTCGTGCTCCCTCAAATTCAAGAATACCTGTTGTCAGTTAAATGGAAGTGCAGTCCTCGGAAACCCCCTGTGGCAAACATGATACTGATTACAATGTCGATAAGGAAACCAAATGTTCTAAAACCACTCCTCTCTAGCTCAGTTTTAGCAGAGTGCTTTAGCATTTGAGGTGAATCCCCAAATTTTGTGGTTTTGTTTGTGTTTGTTTGTTTTTGTAGCTGCACACATACACACATACACAAAATGGACTAAAGTCTAGCATTTTGGTGCATATTTAATAAAAAAGACCTTAAGCCATAATTGCTGTAGCTGCTGGGTGCCTTATTTCTTCAAGAATTCTTTCTGTGCATGCAATAACTTTGGTTAAATTATTCTGGACTTAAAAGGCATAAGAGTATTTAAAATAGTACGGTTTCTGAAGCATCATTGTAACAAACCAATTTCAAAAGATTCAGCTGCTGAAATTTACTTCATAGTCCCTTTGTAGATCAGTTGTTCAGATTTTAAAACAGGAATCATGTGCTGTTATCTGTGTAGTCATTAGTCTCACGAAAGGAAAAAAATGATAAAATAAGACTAAGAAAGCATTCTTCCAATGATTGTCATTGAACTGATCAGTATTTTAGTAAACATTCACAGTATGAAGTCTCTCTCTGTCTTCAGCATAAAAAGTAGTGCAAAAGAAAAAAATTCCAGTCTCATGACCTGTGAACAAAACTTGGTACATTTCCTCCAGAATGTTAGGCATTTGCTATTATACCTCCCCAAAATTAATAATAAAATATAATCAATTTCTAAAGGCCCCTGCAGCCTTTTCAAAAGTTAATTTCCAGTTAAAAATAAACTTTAATTAAATCCAAGATTAAATTGTGACCTATATTCTATTAAATAATTTACTTTCTCTTTTTTCTACACAGTAATTCTTACAATTTCTAAAAAAACAACTACGGAATCCAAAGACATAGGAGATATTATTAAAACACTGATAAAAGACTGCTCAAATTCATTAGTTCTTACATAGTAAATACTTCAGAATGCCAACTTTTCCCGTCACAGCACAATTCCCAACAATGTTGACAATTTACTTACGTACCCATGTGCACACACGCTCACACATACACACACACTCGCTCTCCTCAGGACCATCTTTACTATTAACATTTTTCCCATTATGTGCAAAATTCTTGCATTCTATTAAAAAATATAAAGATAGATCTGCTCTATTTAAGCCTCCCTCTTCTCCAAGATGTATCATTTATTTGATATGCAATACAAATTTAGTCACAATTATGCCATGTATTACCATTAAACAGTGTACTACTGTATGCATTGCAATCATTTGCATATTTCATTTTCATAACTGCACTCTCTATGCATGAATATATTTGGAGATGGGGGGGCAGTGGCAGGTGAAGAAAGCGATTCACACATCGGTCTCCACAGCCTTTGCATTAGAACAATTGTTTTTATCGGTCTCACTATCATCCCCCTTTCCCTGACACTTGTCTTCCTTTCCACATAGAGATTCCTTAACCCCTTCTTCCATCTCTAGATACTCTGACTTGTCCCCCAGGGATGAAGAAGTGGAGCTCCGAAATTTCTTGAGCAAATTAGAAGGGAGGTATGGACAACTAACTGCATTTTGTGTCAGCTGGGTCTGCTCCTCATTTTCAGTCTCTCTGTGGTAGAAATAGTTAAAGTTAGACACAATCACAGGCACAGGCAAAGCAATGGTTAAGACACCTGCAATGGCACACAGGGACCCCACAATCTTTCCTCCCACTGTGATGGGCTTCATGTCCCCATAGCCCACAGTTGTCATGGTTACCACAGCCCACCAAAACGCATCCGGGATGCTTTGGAAGTGGGTAGTGGGTTCATCTGCCTCTGCAAAATATACAGCACTGGAAAAGAGAATGACCCCGATGAAGAGGAAAAAGATAAGGAGGCCCAGTTCCCGCATGCTGGCTCTGAGGGTGTGGCCCAGGATCTGCAGGCCTTTGGAGTGTCTGGAGAGTTTGAAGATCCGGAATACTCGGACCAGACGAATGATCCTGAGGATGGCAAAGGACATGGCCTGCTGCTGCTGGCCATTGCCACCTCCTTGCTGCTGGGCCAGATCAGTGCCCAGAGTGATGAAGTAAGGCAAAATGGAGACAATATCAATGATGTTCATGATGTTTTTGAAGAAGAGAGCTTGGCTGGGGCAAGCAAAGCATCGAACCACAAACTCAAAGGAAAACCACACAATACACACTGTCTCCACGATGAAGAAAGGGTCATTGAATATTGTGTGCCCTGAGTTCTCCAGGTGGGATGCCGATGTGTCATTCAACAATCTGCTGTGCCCACCTGCACTCAGGGCCATGATGAGATCTCTATCATCTCTGAACTCGGGCAAGGTTTCCAGGCAAAATATGACAATAGAGATTAAGATGACCAGGACAGATACAATGGCTATACCCCTGGCAGGGCTAGAACTCTCTGGATATTCAAAGAGAAGCCAAATCTGTTTTTTAAATTCATTCTCTGGCAGAGCCCTGTCCTCCTCTTCTCTCACAAAGCCCTCATCCTCGCGGAACTTGAGCAGGGCTTCCTCTCCCAACTGATAGAACTTCACCTCCTCAGTGAAGATATCAAAGGGGACATTGACTGGCCTCTTCAGGCGCCCTCCTGACTGGTAATAATATAAAATGGCGTCAAAGCTGGGTCGGTTCCTATCAAAAAAATACTCATTGCGCAAAGGGTCGAAGTACTGAGTCCTCTTCTCAGGGTCTCCCAACAGAGTTTCTGGAAACTGGGCCAAAGTTTTCATTTGGGTTTCAAAGCGTAGGCCGGACACATTTATCACCACACGTTCACAGCAATCACTGTAGCGGACTGAACTGTAGCCACCACCACCCCCGTCATCCTGTGGCAGCAGGTCTGTGTACGAACACCCATCCCCATGGTCATCTTCACTATAGTAAAACCTTCCCTCCTCTTCCTCCTCCTCTTCCTCCTCCTCATCTTCCTCTTCCTCACTCAGCTCCCTCAAGATCTTCTCTTCAGAGCCACTGGGCATCAAGTCCGAGCAATGAGGAAAACTGCTCTGCCGGTGGTGGAGTTTCTTCTTTTCAGTTCGCTGACGCCGCCGCCGCCTCCGACTCCCTCGGCTACCTTGAGGATCATGGGAGGAGTAGGCCCCTCGCGTCTGGTGGTGATGATGGGGGCCTCCACCAGAACCCCCAGTGCCTTCAACAGCAGCCGTGGCAGCTGCCACAGCAGCAGCTGCCGCCGCCCTGGAGTGAGCAAGTCTCTCGCGCTCTCGGGCCCGGGCCTGGGCTGCATAACCATAAGGCATATGACTGTTGCACCCTGAACTCTCTGCACTCACCATTGCAACCTCCATGGTGGTGGTTCGGGGAAATGGCTGGTTCCAGTTGTAAGAGAAGAAGAAAGAAAAATAGGTCAGCTTATTTTCTTACCAAATTAAGGTAAGTTTGGAAGCCTTAAGCAGATTGCCTGGAAGACTTAGGATATTTTCAGTCCAACTTTGCATTTTCTGTTTTTAAATCAGCACACCCCATGCTCCCTCTTCTCAGAGATTCAGCGTTGCTTTCCAGAGCTTGGCTAGTCTAGACAACAGCCTAGTGCTCCTCAAACATAAGTCATGAAATGTTGCGGTCTCCCAAACACCTACTTGTTTTGGGGTAGATGTTCAAATCTGGAAGTATGTCTGGGATGAGGTTGGTGATGACGCTACAAGACTCAAAGGCAGCAAGAATCTGACAGCCAGAAGTTGTGCCTAGAAAATGAAATATATTTTTCTGCATGGAAATTGTCCAAAGCCCAGTCCATCCAATTTAAATAAAATGTAAATATGTCTTTAGTCTTAGCACTTGCCTTCTAGTGATGGCTTGACCCATGTTAAGATGTGGCTTAAAATATGTCCAACCATTGCTGCTCAGTCTATGAGGATGATTTCTAAGATCATTAAAGGCTTCATGGACCCACAGATAATGTCAAGTTGTAGAAAGAGGCAAAGACCATGGAAGGCAGAGAGGGTGGAAGATGAGGTTCCAGCAGAGGCAAACCCAACTCTGAGGTCTCCATAGAAATCAGGAAATGAAGAACATCCTTTGGCTAGACTCATTCAGAGAATCACTTCACCTGAGGAGGGATGGGAAACAAGCACAGGAGAAAAATAAAAAGAATCAAACCATAGAGAGCAAACAGCCCTTTAATCCACATACACTTCTTCTCTTGTCCTCAAGCAAATCACGAGACACACACCAGGAGACCATAACTTTTCAAGAACACAGGGCAGGATGCTCTAAAATCTCTCCCACTCAACATCCACCTTGCTTTCTTCTTTGGTTATTAGTTCAGCTCGGTTCAGAGTGTGTGTGTGTGTGTGTGTGTGTGTGTGTGTGTGTGTGTGTGTCTGTCTGTCTGTGTGTGTCTGTATGTATGTCTGTGTGTGTGTGTGTGTGTGTGTGTGTCTGTGTGTGTCTGTGTGTGGCAACTCATCTATTTTGCTTCTGTCCGTTCTCAACCCACATGGGTCTTGTTTTCCTCTGCCCCTTCAACAATGCCAGGTTTTAATCTCACTAGCATTCTCTTCACTCCACAATAACAATTCTGTGGCTGTTTTCATGATTCATTTATCTCAAGGAATTCTCTTTAAAATTTTCACTCATAAAATGTTGCTGAATTAAGAACTCTTCCATTTATGACTTTACTCAGAATTAAAGAAGTGAAAAAAAAACAGTTTTCTTTAGTTTAAACTGAAACTACTTGAATGAACATCAATTACCTCATCTATAAAGTGTAAACAACACAGTCCATCCCCTCCCCCCCCACACACACACCTTTGTAAGGACCAACTGAGATCATGGATGCTATCAGATGGCACACTATCTTGCACATAATGAATGGCAATGAATATGACAGTTATGGATAACACAACATTAAACTATGTTGTCACCTACCCACCCACTCCCAAAATTCACAGTCTTTGCCACTGTCTAAAGTGGGGAAGGACGGAACTTGAGCACCATCCAGGGTACTACGACACTCACCAGTAAGAATCTGAATCTGGCATTCTCTGATCCCATGAAACATGCCCCTGTTGTTTTTTTCTCTACTCCAGCTTCCTGAACACTCCCTGCCACCCACAGCCTCGAAGCAAATCCCAGTTCCCACATCTCTTAGTAACCATCCCCTCTCCTTGAAACCTCCGTGTTCACCTGCTCTACTCTTCTGGAATGTGTGGATGTTGCCCTTGGAGTACACACTCTACCCCCTTTTAATCTTATCCTGCTCTCTCATTCTCCAGTTCACCCCACAATTTTTGGCAGACCCCAATCTGCCCTGCCATCACCTCCTGGCCCTCTTTTCTTACTTTGCTCTCCTAAGTCCATTGAATTCAGCTCCCCAGCCAGAAGTTCAGAAACCTTCTGCCCCTAACTCCAGTCTCCTCCTGCTTCTTCCAAGAAGACTTCTAAGAATACAGAAAGTGACCCAAAGAATTGGGAAGGATGATAACAGGTAGAATTCAGGGCATCCTCTAGCTTCTATTATTGGAAACACTTGGGCAACATGAGAGCAATGGCTTTGTGAAGCCATTAACAGGATCCTACCCTTGAGCACCTGCTGCTCTTTGCTGTTGGTGTCAGTCCCATAACTTAAATGAAAAGCAGGAAAATGGCAAACAGAAGATATCACACACACACACACACACACTTGATTAGACAAAAATATAATAATAACAATCCAGGAATACACCTCAGAAGTTATCCCTGGTGACATCTCCTCCTCTGTCTGACTCATCACATCAGCTTACATTCAGAAATGTTTACCATGGAGAGGTCTCCAAGACTTTACTTATAAAACTGTCCTATGGCTACGTATGTTCACTTTGGCATGTCAGACAACATCCTTAAGATTGGCACAGTCCAAATAGCCTGAGAATTTGTTCAACTTCTCAACATCCACAGTTTGCATATATATCACTTAAGTAAGTCCTAAGTAACTGACATGCCCATATATTTACAAATGTACAGCTCCCCCTACCACCCAAGCAACTCCCCCAAAGGTCGTGGATTAGAGGATCTTCTAGCTCACTATTAACTCTACTAGCTCTAGAATCACCGTCTTTCTGCCCTACAGCAAATGCTTCCTTATTCATATATTTATTTAGGCTTGTTAATTACTGTTTTTCTAAGTCACTCTTCCACATTCAAAAAGCAAACTGTGTTCCTTTTAATTGGCTCCTAGTTACCTCACTATCCTAGAGAGGCAGAAAGAAGGAAAGGGAGAAGAGAGGGAGGGAGAGAAGGAGGGAGGGATGGGGAAAGGGGAGGGAAGAAAGAAAGAAAGAAAGAAAGAAAGAAAGAAAGAAAGAAAGAAAGAAAGAGAAAAAAGATAAGCCCATCAAACCATTTTTCCAACAAACCCAATTGGTTTAAAATCTCTCTTTCTCCAGGTATTCCTCTTAGGAGAATCAAGCATACTTTGTGCAAGAGACCTTTGCAGGGGTTTTCCTCCTCCTTTCTTAACACCATTAAACTAATAGGATTTTGCAAGGTACCTATTCCTATCTCTATACTCCCAAACACCAGCCAAGCATCCCTCTTCTCTTATCCAACAACAGCAAAGCTGTTTTCCTCTCAAGATGCTAATTTCTGCAACTGTGGTAGGGTGGTACCTGAACCAAATCTGAGAGAAGAGCAGAAAGAAAGGGGACAAAATTAACAATTAAAAAGGTGATACAATCAGACAAGTCAACACCGTAAGAAACACGTACTTCATTGCACACCATTTATCCAGTCCCCGTGGACTGCTCAAACACTCTGAAAATGCATGCCATCCTAATGTTGGGAGAGGCAGCAATACAGACCCGCTCATCAGCTGTTCGCAAAGGAGAGGAACGGTGAGGCTGGGATCAGGCAAAACGAAAACGATGCTGAATCTAAACCCCACCTCACTGGGGAACGACATCTTTAATTGCGCCCTGGCCTCCAGACCTGGGTTCCCGCTCAGGCACATTAAGCGGGGCGCACTCGCCCCATCCCCTGGGTTGCCCCCAGAGCGCCGCGTTGCCTCTGCACCTCCCTTCTCCCACCTCCTGGTTTATTTTTAACCGCCTTCCATTCATGTCCTTCTGTCACATTCTCGATATTATTTATTCCTCAAATGTCCACAGTTTCTCAACAGCCAAAAGAGTAGGGTGGGGGAAAGATAAGAAAGGTATCATACTTACCGTTCCCAGCAAGTGAGAAAAATAAAAATAGAGAAAAATCCCCCGGTGATTTGTTTTCCCCCTCAAGCTGCAACAGCTGGAGGAGGGGCAGAATCGTGGGGGGTGGGGGCGCAGTACAAGAAATCACTCGGATTTGGCAGGTGGAGGCTCCCAAATATCCACGGAACAAGTTCTGTCCCCTTGGCCGGGGTAGGGGGTGGGGGGTGTCACAGAGTCCTCCTTACTGGAGCCCAGAGGTGGGGATTAGGGACGCCCCAAGGTAGACCCCGGAGATTCTTGGTTCCTCTGGAGTTCGGCACAGCAGACCTGGGCTGGGAACGGAAGTCAAGGTTCCCCCGAAAAAGACTCAAAATCCTAGACAGCAGCGATCACTTGTTAAGCCTGGATTCCTTCTCCAGGATTCATCCCAGTCTCGCTCTCTAGCTGGCTGCGGGAGCAGCACACGCCTCCCCTAGCTGCCAGCGCGCACGGGCGGGGGCGGGGCCAGGCCGGGCCGAGGGTGTGGCCTTTGGGGCTGTCACCCGGGGCGCCTCCCCGCGTGGCTGGGCGGGCTCAGTCACGACGCTGCGACCCCACCCGTCGGCCCAGCCCCCACGAATGCTTAGCTTCTGGAAACGGTCCCGGGAGCACTTGACTATCACCCCCAAGCGAGGAGCAAATCCTGGAGACAGATGTGTCCCGCAGGAGCTGGAATAGAAGTCCACGCCACAGTACAGGTGCCACTAGAGAGATTGGGAGAGGGACTTTGATGGGAAATGCAGTCCAGAAAATGGGGTGGATAGCTTGGGGCGGTTTCCCTCCCTGCCCTGATCTTTCTTCATCTCCCCTGGCACTGGTCCTCTGTTTTCTTCCAGAATGTGCAGGAGTAGGGCTCAGGTGCATCTCTGGCCAGACTGCAGGTCCAGGAACCTCTGTTTCCCCCTGTGAGTGCACCCCAGCCATAGTTTCAGTCTTCCTAGAACACCAGAGCCTGCAGCCTCAGCTCCTGGGTTGGGCCTCCCAACCTGGGTGAAGGTTACTTTGCACCAGAAGCATAAGCCGCAACAGGAGGGTGGTTGGAGGGTTTTGGGCAAACTGCAAAATGGCCTAGGCTGGAGACTTTGGAAGGCTGAGGTGACCGTCACCTCTGTGAAATTGCTGCTGCAAAAATACCTGAGTCTTAACCAGAGGCTCCATGTGGGGGCGTTGGGGAGACTTTATATTCGTGTCCCTATCTTTACTGCCATCCACCTACTTTTTAAAAAAAGTATTCCACATTACCAAGCCCCTCGGGCAGGGAAGTGTGTCCCAAAAAAGGCAACCACACCCCAAATGAACTTTAGATGGTTTCCTGGGTGGTTAGTTTGTGAAATGTCTCTGGGACATAGATGTGGGTGTGCAATTTTGAATAATCCCCAGAAAAGAAAGGTTAGCTCAGAGAGAGGGGGGAGGGGACAGAGGGGAGAGAGTAAGGTCAGGTTCAGGTCTCAGACATCCTCCTCAGCAACCCTGATGGATCCAGCAAGCACTATGGTACCCAGCTCCAACTGCTGGAGCAGATCCGACCTGGGTTGCTCAGTTGGCACCTGGGTTGCCATACTTGCAGGCAGCTTTGTTCATGGGCCCTATTGGGCTTCCTTCTTTTGTGATTCCCAATTAATTATTAAGGGAAATATTCCTGAGCTGAATTATAGATATGCTGTGTGCACTGCACTCACCTCGTCGCTGCTGACGCAGAGAAAGACACCTGGAAGACTGCTTTACTTGTTTAATTTTTTAAATAATGTGGGGGGTGTGGGGGGGGGAGTCCTGAATTTGAGTTAGTGAGAGGGAAAAAACAAACAAATAAAAACCTGGTGCAGGGTCTGGTTTCTCTAACTTCTCCCAGTCAATGCCCCTTGAGATTTTGGCATGAATAAATTTACCTGGGAACATCCTCCACCTCCCACTCTACTTTGGTTGTAGGCGGAGGACCAGAGACAAGTAACCCCAGGCAGCTCTGGAGAACCTGGATGTTCCAGCTCATTCCAGCAAACAGAAGGGCTGATTTCTCCAAAACTGAAAGTGATCATGTTCACTTCCAAAATAGGCTAGGTCACTGTGCAGTCTCACAGGTGCCAGAAACAGATGACGAACTTAGTGTTGGACCATCAGAAGGATGTTTCTTGGGGAGACAGAATCAGGGCTGAGGGCATACAGTATACTTGGGACCAGTTTCTAAAAGCAATTTCCGAGATCAATCCACAGCAGCTATGGAATGCTTCCAGGGAAGTGAAAGACAAGATTGAATAATGTACTAAAGATAAAGGTTCTAATAAAGCTTAGATGTCTTAATTGGATCACATGGAAATTTTGTGAATTATGCTTCTGTATGTCACTGGCTATTTGTTCTTATTATGGACCAGAGAATTTTGAACATTTAAATGCTTGAAATCTTTATAAACGTCATTATTTCTTAGCTGTCACGGGGAGCAACTACTAAATTGTAGTAATAACACAGCTGAATAAAAGCCATTCTGATGAAGGTACTCATTCAGGGTATTGAATGAATATTTATTGAATACTTGGTCATGACTTGTAATAGTCATTGAGTGACCATCCCATCACTGAATATGTTCCAACTCTCTGCATGTACATTGTCTTGTTTAAGAAGCATGACTAAACACCTTGTATGACAGGTACTATTGCATCAGGAAATTGAGAGTTACATGGGTTATATAACTTGGCTAAAGTTGTCTAACTTCTGACATAGTAGCAGAACTAGGCCTTATATGTGTGACTTTGCAATGTGGGCGGAGTCTATACTCAGTGACAGCAATGCTGCACAGTCTATGCCCACATACCCATGTAAGCTAATAGCCACCACAGATTCATAGGCTGGTGATGAAGCAAGACACCTCATGCTGTGATGCAGATATGAAAATGCTGTGCCTGGGGTACAGAGAACTTAACAGCACCCATTCTAAAGGAAACTAACAAGGACTTCCAAGAAAAAGAGAAAGTCTAAAGACTTGTGAGAGTTAGAGTGGCTATTATGGAAAATTGAGGTGGGGAGCACTAGCAGGTGGAACTGTTGGGTTAAGATGAGACTACCTATGAAGATGAGATGTCCCTCTCTCAGCCCTCTGCCCCCATTCCAGCACACATACATACAGACATTTGCATGCCCACATATATACTACCCTTTTTAGCTCTCTGCCCCCATTCCTGCAGACACAGTCACACACGCACACACACACACACACACACACACACATACACACACACACATGCAGACACAGGCATGCACACACATACACTCCACTTTACCCACTTAAGTATTTTTTTAATTAAATAACAATTACATTTCTCTCCCTCATACTCTTAGGAACTCTTTAGAAACACACATATTGAGCAGAAAGATTTTTATTTTCCTTTACTTTTTTGTGACTGATAAAATATCTGCTTTGACTAAGTCCTAAAACTCTCTTTTTTTTTTTTTTATTTTGCAATACAATTCAGTTCTACATATCAGCCACGGATTCCCTTGTTCTCCCCCCTCCCGCCCCCCTCACCTTCTCCCCAGCCCACCCCCCATTCCCATCTCCTCCAGGGCAAAGCCTTCCCCGCAGACTGAGATCAACCTGGTAGACTCAGTCCAGGTAGGTCCAGTCCCCTCCTCCCAGGCCGAGCCAAGCGATCCTGCATAGGCCCCAGGTTTTCTTGCCTTTCTTTATCATCACCTAGTCAAAACTCTAGAAGCTTCCCCACCTCCACACCACACTTACCTAATACCTCAAATAATTTATCCTTGGCTTTGAAGCCTCCTATTCATGGCACAAATATTCTTCTGTTCTCCTTGACTAGTGTGTACTGGTCCCAACTGAACAACGATATTCAGTTTAGCCCTCACCACCTTTTCAACAATCCTGTGACACTTCCTGAGAACTTGCTGTGTCTTCAGAAATGGACACTGTATCTGGCCCAGGCTGTGGATCAGGAAAGAGCTTTCCATCACTGCAGGAAGTCTACTAGGTATGCTGGGGATACACAAACTGGAAATCAATACTTTTATACCTTCTAATTCCAGATCCTCAGAGCTCCAGTTTTAAAGTTCTGAAATGATGTAAAGAAGAGATAGAATCAGGGAACTTGTTTTCATGCCACCCCCTCCAGATTCATAGGTAAAGATCCTTTGGACAGACCACTACTCTCAACCCAAATGAGCCACTCTGCTAGGTGTTGCTCATAGTTGGGCTTTCCAGTGGTTCCTCACCCTCACTTCTTATATGATACTCAGGTCTTAAGATTGCAGAAAGGCACATTTATTTCTGACAACAGTCCATTTAAGTTTCTGTAGCAAAATACTGTATGTAGACTTGGTGACTTACAAACAACAGAATTTATTTCTCACAATACTGCAGGCTAAGAAACCCAAGAACATGATGTTGGCAATATCTGTATTTGCTAAATATCCATCTCAAGGTTCACAAAGCCTCCTTCTAGCTAAGTCCCCACATGGTAGAGATGGTAAGCTAGCTCTACGGGGCTTCTTTTATAAGGGCACTAATGGATTCTCAAGAGATTTCCTGGAATAGTGGTACAATCATCTAATACCATTCCATCAGGGATTAGAATCCCAATTTTAGAATCTGGGATGGACACAAGTATTCAGACCACAGTAGAGAAAGAGAGACCACTCAACTCAGTGACCTTGATCACAGCACTTGCCAGACAGCACAGAGAAGAAGACATTGCCACCTGCCCTGGGTGAAAGCTGGTCATCTATAGGTGAGAGTCAAGAATCAACCTAATAATTCAGTAAAGCTGACAGAAGTCACACAAGAGACAGAGAGAATAGATGTCCATCCAATGGAGATTACAAGGAAAGGTTCTTGGGCAGAAGTGGGTCCATGCCAAAGGCTCATCAAAGAAGAATGATGTGTGAGAGAATAAGCAAACATCAGAAGAGGATACAGCATGAAGAAATGAGTTTCTTCTCCTCCAAAGTATTTTTAGACACAGTGGTGATAGAGCGAAATTGGTTTGGTCTTAGTTACTGTTCTATTGCTGTGAGGAGACTATATAACCAAGGCAACTTACAGAAGAAAGAGTTCTGGGGCTTGCAGTTGCAGACGGTGAGTCTATGGCCATCATGGCAGGGAGCATGGCAGCAGACAAACAGATGCAGAAGCAGTAGCTGAGAGCTTACATCTGGTCTAAAATCACAAGGCAGAGAGAAGTAACTGTGAATGTCATGGGCTTTTAAACCCTCAAACTCCACCTCAGTGACACATCTTCTCCAAAAAGGCCACACCTCCTAACCCTTCCCAAACAGTGCCACCAACTGGCAACCAATTATCCAAACGTACGATCTTCTAGTGGGCATCCTTATTCAAACCACCAGAGTATACCATACTCAAACTCAGGACTATGAAAAAGCATTTCAGGATGGGATTCCTGACCCTTTCTAACTCCACACACACAGCATACATGTAGAGTGCATATCCCTGCTCAAAACCAAGTTAGCAACTTTGTAGTGACTAAATGGGATGACTTACAGTATCTCCTGGCTGTGACACCTCTTTCCTCCAACTATGAATATATCTTAGAAGTCAAGTGGATGAAATGAAACAGGCAGAACCTTAAATCAAAGCAGGCATAGATCTCTAATCATAAACTACTCAGAAGATAGCCCAATGAGTTCAAGTATATCATTCTCTAATGCCATCCACATTAACAGTTATGCATCATTGCAGTTGAAATCCACTCTGCTAAAGATATTATAAAAGGGTAAAATTGAATCATCCTTTTTATCTCCTTGTTCTGTTTTCTTTTTAGGTGATTAGGAAATAGGGCAGTGGTGGGACTTGTTGAAGATGAAGCAGATGTTGGTGGAGGGAAAAAAATCACCCTGCTCTGGCTTAATTATCATGCCTCAAGCAGAAACAAACTTGAGTCAGGGATGGACCGAGGCAAGATGAGGTAAGAGATAGTATGTCAGTTTTACAGACACTACTACCACCATACCCCTGGGGCAAATACTCATAGTTTATATCGAAGAGTTTTTCACAGACACCCACATGTGGGCCTTTGCAATTTTAAAAATCCTAGAGTACAATATGGAGCTTGTGAAAAATGAATTCCAAACTCTTAAGGATCCTTTAAAGATGGTCACTGATATTAGGCTGGGTCTCCTTCTGTTAAAAGTTGGACTCTCCCTTCTATCCCTGTTTTGATTTTAGATGGCATTCAGCCTCTGAGGACAGGCATCACCAGTTCTTATAGAACATCACTGTTCTGTAGCCTAAGATATTCATGTTCTGTTTCCTGGCTGCTAACACCAATGTACCCTTGACTATTGCTCCTTCAGTAGGCCCACATTCTTTCCAATTTGACCACATTAGAAACACCTTGCCCAGGATGTGCTTTGCAAAACAAGAACCATTACTGTAGGAAAGATGCTGTGACAAAGACGGAAGGAAGATATTTCTAATGGGCAAAGATCAGTTTTAAAATCTAACCAGGTTTGGAGAGATGGTTCAGAAGATAGCAGCATCTGATGCTCTTGCAGAGGACCAAGATGCAGTTCCCAGGACCTACATGTTGGCTCACAAGCATCTTTAACTTCAATTCCAGAGGGTCTGATACCATTTCCTGGCCTCTGTGAGCACCTGTCACCCACATAGTGCACATACATACATACAGGTGAAACACTCATACTCATAAAATAAAAAGAAATCTAACTATTGGGCTTGAGATGCTCTGTCTTTAAGAGTACTTACTACTCTTTTGAGGATCCACGTTCAGTTCTTAGCATCCAAGTCTAGCATCTCACAATCACTATAACTCCGGTTACAGGAATCTGATGCCCTCTTCTGGCCTCTACAGGTCCCTGCATTCATGTGCACATAGCCACATACCCACAAACATAAAATAACTAAATAAATAAATAAAATATTTATGAGATGAAGAGATAGCTCAGCAATTAAAACTAATTCCTGCTTTTCCAGAGGACCCAAGTTTGGTTCCCAACAGGTATGTTGGGTGACTCACAACCATTTGTAACTCCTGCTGCAAGTATTATCCAATAGCCCTCCTAGTTTCCATAAGCACCTGCACACACATGGCATATGCTCACACAGACACATACACAAAAATAAAATGAATAAATAAAATATTAAATTAATATAATCAACATTATTTCTTCCACTTACATTTTCCACTTTTGGTTGAAGGTAAAAACACAGTTGTAAGAGTTAGCCAACAGATATGTTTCAAAAGCAAAATAAAAACAAACAAGGTTGAAACTATGACTGTGATAAGGAGGCTAGCTTACAGTTTCTTGACTGCAGAATGTAGACGAATTTTAGGGAGGCCATCAGCTCACAAAAAAAAATGACACGGAGATATATTATTACTTATGAAAGCTCAGCCTAGCGGTTAGGCTTGTCCCAGTAGCTCTTATAACTTAAATTAACCCATTTATATTAATCTACATTTTTGTCTTGTGGCTTTTTACCTCTCTTCCATCTTGTACCTCTTATTTCCTCTCCATGTCCTCTGGCATCTCTCTTGCCTGAATTCATCGCCTCTTCTCTCTCTGCAGGTAAGTCCTGCCTAATCTCTCCCTGCCTAGCTATTGGACATTCAGCTCTTTATTAAACCAATCAGAAGGTGCCTTGGCAAAGGCACATCTTCACAGTGTACAGAAAGATTATTCCACAACAACAGACAGTAACAATCCTTGGTCAGTTTTTGTACACACATGAAGCCACACCAATTATTTCTCAGGCTGCCTCACAACCTCAGTTCCTGTTCCAAATAAGCATGGAGAACACGGACTGACATTGCCAAAGGTCACATGCAGGGCACATACTGCTCAGTTCCTCTCAGGTGTGTCCTACCACAGCTGATGGACTGTATGTGGTCAAGGATAGGAATGGATCAGACATAATACAATATAGTAAACTTACATAAAGCATGAGAAATTGTATGACTTTTTCCCTTTTTCCATCCTTTTTTTCTTTCTTTTATTTGTAACTCAATTTTAAGGTTTTCTAGCATGACTTTGTAGAGAACAACATTGGTTTGCTTTTTGAGGTCAAAAACTTGGACCCACCTGCATAGTTTTTAGAAAGAGCTCCTATCTGAATTCATATATATACTTGAACTTGGGGTGTATTTCTAAACTTACAATGAAATTCTAATGATTCACGATGGTACTTGGGAAAAATTAAACATAAACCAAAGTAATTACTTCTCAATAGCTTCATGGGCCAGACTAAAGGCCAGAACTGGACAGTACAATTGTTTCTCTGGCTCTGGATGTCATGAGCCTCAGTGTCCTCATTTGTAATACTGGAAAAATCAGCATCTCAGTACTATTCCACAAGATCATGAGTGTGAGTCATATAAGAGAATGTATAACAAAGTGTTTTAGGAGCGTAGCGGTGCAGCATGTTTAGAAGGCACAGTATTTTAAGGCAATAAGTGTCTGCCACAGACTGCCTAGACTGAATGTATCCTCTTTTCTCTTAAATCCATATGCTGAAGCTTGGACTGAAAAGATAATGGTCCTCACATCATATAGGACTATTATAGTGTGTTAGAGTTGGATGTGATCACAGGGGTATAGCGTACATGATGACAAGAGCTCCCATTAGAAGGAAACTTCTTCAGGAGACACAAAAAAAGTCATGTGACTACACACAAGATGGAAGCCGCCTGTAAACGAAAAGAATGAAATTTTGTGGTGACACAATAAACTCAGCAATAAACTCTTTAGAAGAGGTTCTTTTGTACAGATTCTCTTTAAAGAAATTGAGAGAAGGGTTTGTAATCAATCTATTGATAACAGGGCCCCTAAATTTGATTATGCCTCCACAGCCTAAAATTCATTCAAAATCAATTTGGAATTCTGGAACACTTTTTTTGATAAGGTAGCTAGATATGAGATTAGTTTGAGTATTCACAAAGTTGTTCATGTTCATCCATTCAATTATCAAAATTTTGAGTATATGAATTGACTGCATATATTTTATCAGTAAGTACATATATTTTATCAGTAAGTAATATAAAATAAGGGTAAGTCTTCCTCTGAAATAAGTGAGATAACTTTAGACAATAAGAACTGCTATGATGAAAACCATGTAGAGAAACAAATGACCAGGAATGGGGCTACACATTTAGAGGGGCAATTCAGGGATATAGATGGGATGATGTTTTCTCAACAGAAATACTCTGGTTAGTTTTCTCCATGCTTTGATAGAATATCTTGCCAAAGTAACTCAAGGAAAAAAATGATTGCTTTTGGCTCAAAGTTTGAGGGCACAGTCAAGGAAGACATAGAGGCAGAAGCACAAGGCAGGTGGGCACATTGTATCCTCAGTCAGAAAGCAGAGGGATGGATATGGAGACTCCATTCACTTTCTCCTTTCCATTCAGTCCAAGATCCCAGCACGCAGAATGGTGTTCTTTCTTCAGTTAAAACTCACAGACATACCAAGAGGTATGTTTTCATACTGAATCTAAATCCAGTCAAATTGAAAATTATGATTAACCAACATGAGAGGCCATCCCAAGTTCAGTACATTAATTTTTTTCAAGATCTTAGGACAGGCCTGGTGGCAATCATAACCAGCTTCAGCTACCAACTGAAGTCACTTGGGAAAATGGAGCTAAATTTGAGGAATTGCCTACATCAGACTGACCTGAGTCATTTTATTTTTAATAATTTATTTACTATTATTTTTGTGCATTGGTGTTTTGTCTACAAGTATGTCTGTGTGATGGAGCCAGATCCCCTATAATGGAGATACAGACCATTGTGAGCTGCCATATGGATGCTGGGACTTGAACCTGGGTTCTCTGGACGAGAAGCCAGTGTTCTTAACCTCTAAGCCATCTCTCCAGCCCCGTGATGTGTTTTCTTAATTGCTAATTGATGTAGGACAGTCCATCCCACTGTTGGCAGTGTCATCCCGAGGAAGATTGGCCTGGCTGTATAAGAAATGTAGCTGAGCAAATCAGAGTGATCCGGTAAGCAGCATTCCTCCCCTGTCTTCTGCTACAGGTTCTTGTCTTGAGTTCCTGTCTTAGCTTCCTTCCATGATGGACTGTAACCTGCAGGATGAATAACGCCTGCCTTTCCCTGCCTGTTTTGTTCAGTGTTTCTTCATAGCAACAGAGAGAAAACAGTGGTACATATCTGTAATTCAAGCACTGAGGAGGTTGAGATAGGAAGAGCACCAGGAGATTGGAGACAACCCAGGTTACACAGTAACAACATGTCACTGAACAAATAACCATCAATCAAAAACAACTTGAATGATGCTTGAGGCTTGCACACCCCCCAGAGTGTAATACTCAGCACACTTGAAAGTGTTTCTACATTCCACATGGGTGAGTGGTTTAGAATCTTACACTGAAATTTTGCAGCACTTTGTTTTTCAACTGTTTCCACAGCTAATAATTCCAGTTCAGAGCATAAACATTGTGGCCTCATTAAAGTTATAGACACGAGGCACAGTCCAGAAACAAGCCATCTGCTCTGCATGAAGAAGTGGGTCCTTTATTACTGACAAGAACACAGATTCTTCCACTTTAAGGAATTGGCCCATCACCCCATGGGTTGTTCAACTCTGGGTGAAAGGTACACCTGTTTATTTGTGCATGATTCTGCACTGACGTATGTGGAGGCATCCTGTGTTTATGTTGTCTTCTATGTTGTGTGTAATCTATACTGAGAAAGCTAATTATTAAACCCTGAAAGTGTGCCCAGAGGCTATTGTGAGAGATGCATCCAAAAAATAATCTAAAAATAACTAAGCAATAAATAACCATTTGCAGATGGGAATTGTTCATGCAGTATTCTAAGCAACAGTGAGTTTTTGTTTGTTTGTTTGTTTGTTTTTAGACATGGTATTTTTGCAGTTTTTTACTAGGTATACTAAATTCAGTCTATTTAAGGCAGACCATTTAAATAAGTGTGATAAAATTGACTGGCTCAAAATTAATGTTACTTTAAAAGACAATATTGAACTACAGCTTTTATGTTAGAAGCCCGTCGCTTGTGCATATCCTTATACATTATTAAAAGCTCCTAGGGAATCATTTCTGAGAGGGAGGCAGAGCATGCCAATCATTATTTTAGATTATATTGTCAAAAATGCAAGGGCCGCTCTTCAAAGTAATAACTTGACTGCTCAGTGTTTTATTTGTTCACATTCACCGATAGTGAAAAAGTATAAAAGAAAAAAAAACTAGACATAAGATGTCTCTTGTGCCCTGGGAATGTGCTACATAAACGTGGTTGCTGAAAGCTGAAGCGGTTGCACTGGAAGACTTAGAAATGTAAGAGAACAAGAAGCTCTTAGTTACAGTGTCATACCAACCTTTACAGGGCAGTCAGATGACAGTAAGTGAGCAAGACTTAGTGCCAGCTTCCACAGGATTGAGCATGACTTTTGGTAACACTGAATGACTTATTGCAGTAGTTCTCAACCTTCCTAATGCTGCAACCCTTGAATACAGGGTTCCTCATGTTGTACTGACCTCCAACCATAAAATCATTTCATTGCTACTGTTATGAATCATAATGTAAATAAATGTAAAGTGTAAATGTGATATGCAGATGGTCTTAAGTGACCCCCTGTGAAAGGGTCATTTGACCCCCAGGTTGAGAACCACTGGACCCAAACAAAATGTTTAGTGTGCTTTTCAAGGATGCTCTTGTTTATATGGTCTTCTGTCATTACTAATGCATGCACAGCTAGTGGTCTGGCCATGTGCTTCAGACTTGTTCAATAAAGCCACAGTGCTTCTATTTAACAATGCAATTAATTTTCCTATTCAGAAAAATACCCATCCATCAAATAAAAGACTTTGGCTTTGGTTTTAGACTTCAAGAAAAATACAGTCATACACTTACCATAGCGTAACTTGCTGGATATTTCCTGTTGGACATAATGTGTGGAAAGAATAATGTGACTCTTTTATGTCCTTTCTGGTGAAATACAGCTTAACAGAGCAAAAAGACAGACTATAAAATTCCAAAATCTCATCACTTATGAGACAGAAACCATAAATTAAAACAACATAAATTTCTTACATTTTCCAAAAGTAGTGCTCAAGACTAATAAAGGCTAATGATAGACAGAGCCAGGTGTACTCGTGACATCTCTAAACTGATTTATCAGTGCTTGAAAGGCTGAGATAGATGGATCATGCATGAGTTTGAAGCTAGTGTGAATAACACAGTGAGTATAAGGCCAGCATTGCAACAAGTGAGATCCAGTCTCAGTAAATAAGTGAAATTTTAAAATAGATTATTATAGCTCTTTTATAAGAAATCTATGAGAACTAAAGGAAGGGTTGGGGGTAAGACTGGGGGAGTGGGAGGAGCAATGAGAGGGGGATCTGTGGTTGGTATGTAAAACAAACAAAAAATTTCTTAATAAAGAAAAAGTAAAAAAATTTTAAAAAAGAATTGGATCACAGAAGAAAAAAACATGAGAAACAAATGTATGTGACAACTGAAATTATTTTATTTAAATTATATAGGGAATATTCATTAATGAATAATGAAAGTCTCAAAGAAACGGTGAGGGACCTAAGTTTATATAGAAGGTGATAAGGATCTCACTATGGTTATAATCTGGGAAAGTATGGGAACGAATCTTAGAACATGCAAGGACAGGCTGGGTGTTTGGGTTCCTATGTTGGCTGAAGAATGGTTAAAGATATTCTGAGTGATTTTTGTTGTCATTATTTCTTTAAACCTCATTGAGCCATCTGTTGAAAGGTCATAGCAGGGCTGCAGAGATGGCTCTGTGGATAATGCTTTTTCTGTGCAAACTTGACTACCTGGATTCATGTCCTCAAACCCCCATAAAAAGCCAGATGTGGTAGTGTGCATGTTTGTAATCCCAGAACACTCTTGTAAGGAGTTGTAAAACTGGGACAAGAGAATCCCAGGGCCAGATAGCCTAGAATATACAACAGTGAACAAGACCTTGTATTTTAAGAAAGGTGCAAGCTGAGGCCTGACACATAAAGTTGACCTTTGACCTCACTACACATTCTGTAGCATGTGTACATCTGTACTTACATGCACATGAATGCACACTTACTCAAATCCTGTGCATTCGTGCACACACACACACACACACACACACACACACACACACACACACACGCACACTTGAAAGGTCATAACAGAGATTATTGATTCAGAGCTCCATATAAAAGATGGATGCCGAGTATGACAAAGACAAATACGTAGAAGTCTACAGGAAAGAGTCAGCTGCTAAACTCGGTGCAACTAGTTTGATGCATTGTACAATTCAGAAATCTTCTATTATACAACACCCTTGTTTAAGGGCACTGGAGCTCCCCAACTAGTGTGTAGATAGATACTCTTGGTAATGCTGTGCACAGTCATGCTTGCCTCTACAACCTAAGTTATAATAAAGACATACTAAAGTCACCATAAAAATAACCCTAAGACCAAGTCAATAATCTAAAAATGACATCACTTTAACAGAGGACAAGTCTAAATTCTAGCTATAGAGTGATATAGTATTTGACAATAAAGTGCTTAACTTTAGCGAGCATTATCCATGGCAGATGAAATTCTTATGCAACAAATTTTTTATTTACTTTCCAGAGAACATAATTCCTCAAACCAGCAAAAATGAACACATTCACTAATAAGCTAGGATAGTTATATATTATTGTCAACCTATTTAGATTATAGAATCAGTGAAACACCGCTCCAGCTGTACCTGTAAGTGTCTTTCCATAGAGACAATACCCACCCTGAATATGGCATCACAATCTATGTTCTGAGATCTACAGCTGAGACCTGATCTGTATGAGCGTCATGTTGCTGCTGAGAGTCACCCTGACATCCATGCCTTTCCGGCTGTGCTGATTGTACCCTCGAACTGTGGGTTAAAATAAACCTTTTCTTAAATACTGGTCAGGTATTTGCTCACAACAATGAACGTAACTACTTCAAGACCCAAGCATATAGTCTGCCTATAGCACATGAGAGTAAAAAGCAAAAGTATATAAACGTAAAAAAACTATGATACAAAAATAATATTTCAATATTCTGTTACTTGAATCTAATCTATATCTAATAAATGACTATTTAATATCAGTCTAAGGTTTGCCTCCTAAAGATCTTAGAAATTGCCTTTTAGTTAGCATACTATGGAATATAACTACTTATGAAATAAGTATTTTGAAATAATGGTTCGATTTTTAAATATAATGTATAATTTTCATATCTTCAACACTAAGATGAAATATTACCATATTTACCAGTAAACCTATTCACATTTAGAAAAACACATATGCAAAAATAATAAAGATATATTAGTGTTATATTTAATGCAAGTCAGAGAAGACAGCTGTTCCTATTAAATTAAAACTTTAAAATCTTATTTGTCAAGTATTTGCCTAAATTATGTGAACTTGAAATCTATATGTGAGTTGGTCTCTCTAAGGATAACTTCAAATTTTAACATACTAACAATCTTAGTAATTTCATTTCTTTAATTTCTGAGAATTTTTTATTTAGTATATGTAAATAACAATTTATTTCTAAATCTATCAGAATAGAAATCCTATCCTTTCCAGTCAAATCTGAAAATGGCATCTGTACATAAGGTAAGAATATACACACAGTAAAAGGTGAAGGGTAAAGGCTTTTGAATGACAGGCATACATATGCAAAGGGGCAGGGGAGCTTATGAGCAGTATTCTAACTTTTCAGAGTGAGTCTCATAAGCACAGATGTGCACTGTTCTCTGCCTAGTGTTTACAAGTTCTTAGCTGATTGAAGTTTAAAATGCTGGTGTTAGAGAGATTGCACAGTTGATTAAGAGTGATGTATACCCAGCACTCATAGAAGAAGCCAGTTCTGGATGCAGAGTACTACAGACCAGTGCTAGAGTGTGGACTGAGGGGTTAAAACAGAAGAATCCTGGGATGAGATACAGTCCCTGGTTGTCAATCTAGCAAAACCAATG